CTAATATGGGGTTTACGTAGAGTCTTAGCGAATCGAAGCCCGTCGGGGCTTACACTAACCATGTCTCTTTGACTCACACTCGTCTCTTTTTATCTCTTTCATGATTCAGTTGCCAGCAAACCTCCGGTTCATTGGACTGGTGGGCGAGAAGGCCGGCAGCGGCGTGAAGATAACGTCGTCGGGCGCGGCGGGCGACTCGAGTCTTGACGAGTGCGCCACGTTTCGGCTGCTGGCTTCAGACGTTGTCGTATCCAACATCATCTTCGAAAACGCGCACGGACCGGGCGAGCAGGGCGGGTAAGATGCTCCAGAGATTGTGCGAAAATTCGCGAAAACGCGAGGATTAGCAAGAGCGCGGGAGAACCCCCGGACAACGGGGAAGACGTGCACGGCACGGGGCGCGCGGAACAGGACGATGCAATGCAGCGTCTGTCTTCCTTCTCGCGCGTTTCTCACATGCTATCCCCGCCTGTGCCAGTCTCGCTCGGCCTCGGATAATCTTCACTTTTAAAAAGTGCTTCTGGTTCTTCCTGGGACTCACCTTCTGTGTTTGTGTACCTGGCATGTACGCGTGTGTGTGGATGTCACAGCGACGAGGACCAAGCTGTGGCGATCAAGGTAGCCGGCACGCGAGTGGCCTTCTACGGCTGCACCTTCCTCGGATACCAGGTAAGAATTTCGCCAACTTCGCGTACTGCGCGAAGTTTGGTATTTGCTTGAGCTCTGCGAACCCTGCGAACTGCGCAAATCGTGGAAAATGATTATCACCGCTCTTCTCCGTACACACATGATTCGTCCATTCGCCCGCCCTTGTTCTTTCGCTTCTGTACTCCCTTCGTCCCATAAGTATTATCTCGTGATTTTGTCTACCCCTACCAGCCCCTACTCAAACTAACCTTTTTCTTTGGCTCTCTCTCCCACTCCTCTTCCTCGTTGCGATCCGTCCAGGATACTTTGTACGCTACAATCGGCTTGCAATACTACAAGAATTGCAGTACGTACTCCCACCCTTGGCCCTGCTTTGCCGCCTCTTCCGCCCTTGCCCGTTTCTCTTCCGTCTATCTGCGCATGCTTCTTCCCATGCATCTGACCTCTTTCTCCGTCTCCCCCGCCTTTTCCGCCTCCCCCGCCTCCCCCGCCAATCCCCACTATCCGCCTCTCCCAATCCGCCAGTCATCCAGGGTCGCGTCGACTTTGTGTTCGGCAATGCCAAGGCGCTGTTCCACGACTGCAAGTTCCGCCTCGTCTACTGGGGCGGCGGCTACTTCGCGCAGGCGCGCGACAAGGGCCAGGACACCGGCTTCGTCGTCCTAGGAGGCTCCTTAAAGCCCTTCGGAAAAGGGCCTATTAAACCCGGGTATCTCGCGCGGTCTTGGGGGGATTACTCCACTGTTGTTTTCGTCAATACGATGTTCGCGGCTGGATCGGTTCGGGCCGAGGGCTGGGGTTTCGTGAACGGTTACGAGGATACGGATTCGCTCACGTTCGGCGCGTACGGGTGCTACGGACCGGGTTACAACACGACCGGATGGGAGTCTTTCGCGAAAGTGATGACTGCGGCTGAAGCGGCGCCTTATTCGTCGATCAATTGCGTGAACCAGGGAGGCTGGATTGTAGACCCGAATGCATTGGTACGAGGAGTGGGAGGGTGGGTCAACAACGGGAACGGCAAGGCCGGCGGCGGCAAGAAGAAGCCAGCTGATTCTCCTACGCCTGCCACCACACCTTCTCCCAAGGCTGTGCCTACACCTACTCCCAAGCCATCTTCCAAACCTGGTCCTAAGCCTGCTCCCAAGACCGCTCCCGTTCCTTCTCCTAAGACTGCTCCCGTTCCTGCTCCGAAGGGGGGTGGTTCTGCCCCGAACAAAGGCACGGGGAACGCTCCGGCTGGCGCTGGCGGAGGGGGAAAGAAACGCGGGCCCGGTGCTGACGGAGCGTCTGGTGCCCCCGGCGGACAAACGGGGGGGAGAAAACCTGTTGCCTCGGTACCCCCCCCACCTGTTCCTAAGGCGAACCCGGGTGGCACTGGTAATGCGCGTGGTCGTAAGCCGGCTGGTGTGGGTGGAGGGTCGAATGGGGGGAAATCGAGTAGAAGAAACGGTGCGAACGGTAACAAGAACAAGGATGATGACGACGACGATGACGATAACTGAAGGTTGGTCTGGTGAGACATCCGCGTTTTAGCGCGTTACGTAATGACTGCGTGCTGTTACGTCTCAGGAACACACCACTAACGATGCAGTACATGGTCGTTTCAGCAGGTGCAGCAGCGGGGGGGTGTAGGAAGTTTCACTTAAGTCCACAGGATACATGCTCTCCTCAGTTAGAGAGCACTAAGCGCCATATTTCTTGACATTGTCCTAGGATTTTCGTAGGTAGGTGCATGTGTTGCCTGTGCCAAGTTGATATAGTAGTGATGGCACATGGGGAATAACTGCTGTATTGAGCAGTAGCACAAACTTGATGTAACCAAATACCTGTTGAAAAAGTATCTGCTTTGTTTTTTTAATCAACACTACATCCAATTCCAGTCGTTTTATCTTGTTGATTGTTGTGGAATAATCAAACTTGGTTGCCTGACTAATACCAGACTACCAGCAACAAGGAATATACTTCCTGAACTCCAAAACGGCCAAGCCTAGGCAAGGGAAGCTAATCAGCCTACGCCCACCACTTATGACGACCCTTTGGGAGGGGAAAGTGACCGCAGCTTGTCCATAAGAGACGAGACGCCACCCATCATATCATCCACCATGTCCATCATATCTTCCATCATATCCCCCATCATTTCCCGAGGGTTTAGACCCTTGGCGTCAGAACTGTTACTGTCACTAGCGTCCTCCTTCCCTGCATCAGCAGGAGCAGCATCCGCCCCCGATCCTTCCCCAACCGACTCTCCGCTAGTCTCTGATTTCTCCCCAACCATCTCAGCGCCGCCGTCTGGGGCGGTGTCCTCCACAACCGCTTCCGCCGCGCCTTCTTCCGCTGCTTGCGCAGCTTCCGCTGCTGCTGCTTCTTCCGCTGCTGCGGCTGCTTCTGCTGCTGCGGCTGCTTCCGCTTCCGCCGCTGCTTCCGCTGCCGCGGCGGCCTCCGCCTCCCGCTGGCGAGCCAGCGCCTCTTCGCGGACGCGCTCCAGCGCCTCCCGCTTTCCCTCGTCGCGGGAACGCGCGGAGGCGGAGTCGGGGAGGGTGAGGGCGGAGAGAGCGACGGAGGAAGTGGCGACGAGGAGGGACAGGTGGCGGCGTGTGATTGGTGCCTGAAGGTCGTGGTAATATTGGCAAACGGGACGGGAAGTGAGAAAATAGGGACGCCAATGGTGCGATCAGCCATAAAAATATATCAAGGGTTTATGAAGGACAAGCCAAGGGTGTTCTCCTGTCGAAACAGAAAGGGATGCTTTCTGGTAAAACGCACGGTATTAGTACCGACTGCACGTTATTCGCGTGTTAACATCAGTGGCAAGTGAATCAACTTGGAAATGCTCGATGGACAAGGGCGAGAGTGAAGCATGCAAGACCAAGCTGAGAAATCCAGCTGAGTCATTCAAAAGAATCCCGAGGCCAAAGCCTTACTCCTTCGCGTGCATGCGCCCAATGTTGCGTTTCAAGTATATCCTTCTAGCATTTTCGTCAGCGCCGTTCATTTGAAGCTTCCAGAAACACGGAGAACGCCCCCTCCCCAAAGAAGAAACAATGTTGCGAGCCGTTTGAAAACAGTGAGACAGTGTCAAGCCGCTGTGGAGGCGGGGCAACCCAAAAGTCAAGATGGGTTTGCCAGTCTATTACAGTCAAAACAAGGACATGGGTGCATTGCCGTTTTCTCACCTCGGTCACTTTGCGCTGTGCCGAGCAAACAACAGACGCGGAGCCTTTGATTGAGAAGGCGGCTTTGGCGGGTTCCGCATTCTTGAGCGCACCGCTTTGGCCTCCGCGAGAGGCGGCGAGGCTGGACAGAGCTGCGGCTTGTTGGAGAACGCACGCCATTTGCACGAAGCTTAGGCTGCTTTGCGATAGAGGGCTCGAAATGAGGTGCGAGGAAGATGCTCGAGGGCTAGGGTGGAATGCGGCGGTCCTGCAAGCAAGTGTTTGCTGGTCGAAAGTGAATGGGAAATGGAATACGTTTTACGAGGTGTACGTTCAAGGAAGGAAATTGGAGGCAGCTATGGCGCATTCTGGTGATTTTGCAGGGGGTGTTTTCGTTTTGGTTTGAAACGGAGTCTATTGCCTAGCGTACAGTGTGGGTCATTTGACTTTTAGCGAAACAACCAGTTCAGCCGAGGTGAACTAGACATAGCAGTTCTGTGCGTTGGATGCCAGGACTTGGCACCACAACGCGCCTGCAATTTCCAATGTACACGTCCTCCGAGCCAGCGGCAGCGAGGGTGGTGAGAGAGGGAGATCAGCAGCGTGTTCGAGGCGTGGTGGCGTGGATGAGAGTAGATTCTGATTACGAGCCGCTGCCTGGTCTTGTGGATGAGCTGTGCGCGTCGTCAAAAGCCGATGGGGTTCCATTCCACGCTGTCTCGTTTTCATTCGGCAAGGAAGATTTGCCACGAGTGAAGGTGGTTGTGGGGCGTCAGCGAGATCAAACGTGGGATAATCTTGACGTAAGTACGACCTTTCCATACAGCCTATATCGCAGCGTGGCGTAACAAAAATGATATCTTTCAACAAGTTCTGCAGAAACTATACTATGTCATCATGTATGATATCCCGATATCCCAACTCAACGCATTTCCAAATTTCCTCTGTTCTGTAGGTCTACATGTCACATGGTCTTTCATCGCATCCCATGCACAATGTTTCTTCTTCATTTTGGTAATTGTGCACAATCTCCTGCCAAGCACGGTTCCCTGTAGTCTATCTTTCCAGATATATTATGCAGTTTCGAGCCACAGAAGGAGTGCAAAACCATCCTCTACCATGCGAAAAAAAACAAAGCATGCAGAGCAGACACGTTGCTATGCACAGGAGGACGGCGGGAGCATACACGTCCACGAATCATGTGAGCGAGTCCATATAGTCCAACAGCAGTTCCTTGACAGCTCCTCTATCCGGCATGCGGTTACCAGCGCCATATATAGGGGCCATGCCTTGCGATGAGGGAGAGGGTGATGACCGCACCTGAGAATGGGGGGAAGTAGGGTGGAGGAGGAGGCGAGAGGGAAAAGGTTGCGAAAAGCATTATGAGGGCAGACACAGGCAGATGAGGGCGAGGAAGCGAAATCAATACAGGAGGATTTGATACAGTCAGAAGAGGGGTATCTTGGCAAAGAGGAGAGGGATGAAATGGCCAGGATCTCTGTTGCGGCTTGCAACCATCACGCGTGGACAGAAGGCTTTAAGTGTGCAAACCAAAATCCAAGTGCAAAATCGCCGAACCCAGAAATTTAGCCAAAATCAGTCGGGCCGTTTTGGCGAAAGTAAACCGTCTACGACGTTCGCTGAACAAATTGCGAGCGTCGTGAAAAAAAAAAAAAAAAAAAAAAAAAAAAAAAACGAAATAGATGGCTGGTTGAATAGTCGACACGTATCAGACACCGCGTCGACTCCAATTCGGCCAAGTAGTCGACACAGTGTGCGACAGTCGCCTGTGACATCGCACGGTATCGCCCGAGCGACAGAATTTGTGATTCCGTCAAATGAGAAATATCGCCGTTAAATGTGCGACCCCGTCGCACATACCCAGATACTGTAGCAACTGCAAATTTTACAACTTTACCGAACCCGGCCTGCAAATCGGCCACCAAAGTTGTAAAATCCGCAAATCTGGTGGCCAATTCGAATTCGGCCACCAAGTCGACTTTCGCGAACCACATGGTCGACGAAAATTCGGCCAAACCCCAATTTCGCATTTGCACGGGATTTTACACGCCCTTAGTGGCTCGAAATGATTGGTGCTACTCGCGCTGCTGTCATAACCTCCAATGGGCATGCTCCATGATTGCCTGTAATTGCCTGTGACTGGCTTCCCCAGCTATGAGGTCACTTACATAGTACCAAAAAGTATTTTCCAGCTCCCCCCACTCCCCCCACCAGCTCCCCCCCACTCCCCCCACCATCTCCCCCCACTCCCCAAACCAGCTCCCCCCCACTCCCCCCACCATCTCCCCCCACTCCCCAAACCAGCTCCCCCCACAAGCTCCCCCCCACTCCCCCCCCCTAACTCCACCCTTCCTTCCCCACCAGTTGGCCCCACACTAGCCCCATCTCTACCCCCATCTCTACCCCCATCTCTACCCCCCACTCCCGCACACCCAGCCTTCCCCCCCACGTGGTCCCTCCGCTCCCCCTCACCTCATCCACAGCAGCCTGCAGGTCCGCCAGGAACGCATCCACCGTGTACCCCCCCTTGCCCCCTCCCCTAGCCCCCCCTTCCCCACTCCCTCCCCCAGCTTTCCCCGCTCCCTCCCCCAGCTTTCCCCGCTCCCTCCCCCAGATTTCCCCACTCCCTCCCCCAGCTTTCCCCGCTCCCTCCCCCAGCTTCCCCTCCCCCCTCACCTCATCCACAGCAGCCTGTAGGTCCTCCAGGAACGCATCCACCACACCCACGTGCTGCAGCGTCACACACAGGTGAATGCTGCATGTTGGGACGGGTGGAGAGTGGTGGAGGGGGGTGGAGTAGGGTGGCAGGGGTGGCAGGGCGATTAGTCTGCAGCCACATGGTGCAGCGTTACACATAGGTGAATGCTGCATTTTCAGAGGGGTGCAGAGCAGTGGAGGGCGGTGGAGCCGGGTGGAGTGGGGTAGAGGAGCGATTAGCCTTAACACATACATCCTGCAGCATCAAACACAGGTGAATGCCGCATAGTAGACGCGGGATATGGAGGGGTGCAGAGGGGCAAGGATGGATAAGGAGGGAGTGAAGGTGCGTGCAGGGGGGTTGAGAGCGGTGCAAGGGGGTAGAGTGGAGGGGCACTCACCTGGCTGGTTTGTGCAGGGCGGAGAGGGCCCATCCCCTGTGTGTCATAGCATCATTGATCCGGTATATGTCAAGCTGATCCGATGTCATTGCTATGACCGTCATATCCGGTTCCCCCACCACCTGCAGTCCCTTTATGCGCGATACCCTGGTGTATGTGTGTGTGTTGGAGGGGAGGGGGTGGGTTTTGGGGAGGAGTAGGGTAATGACCCGTAAGTGAAGGTAGTAGCACTACTGTCAGCATGGCAGTAGTAGCGCTGACGCTGACATGTATGCCGTGTGTGTGTGTGAAGGTGGATGGGTAACGACAAGTGCTGACACGTGCGGCGGAAAAAACTTGAAGTTGGGGCTGCCTGAAAGGAGAAAGGAGAGTGGAGGGGAGGATGCAGAGGATGCTTGGGGAATAAGGCTGAGACGCCAGAAATTGCTTTTGAGTCCACTCAAAAGCAGAGTGGAGGGGAGGATGCAGAGGATGCTTGGGGAATAAGGCCGAGAAGCCAGGAATTTCCCAACCATGCATGGAACTCCACATTGGACCAGTACATTACTAGGGAAAAGGAAAAGATCTCCATTATGCCCTCCTGTGCAAACCAAACCACGGCACTGCACGGCACAGCACAGCACAGCACAGCACAGCACATCACAGCACAGCACAGCACAGCACAGCACAGCACAGCACAGCACAGCACAGCACAGCACAGCACAGCACAGCACGGCACGGAACAACACGGCAAGCAAACCACCTGCCCACCTACCCTGCCACGATTGCTTTTGATGCCTTCATTAGCCGTTTTGTGATGTCCAAGTATCCTGGTGGGCCGTGGAAAGGGGAGAAAAAGAGCGAAGGGGGAGGAGGGCGGGGAACGGAGGACGGGGAAGGAAATGGTGTTTGAGGTGATTCATGAGCTTTATTGTAATGCCCATGTTACCTGACAAAGGGAAAGGAAGGGATACAGAAAGGCACAGCGAGCAGAGAGAGGATTTTAGGACGTCAATGTATATAATCCATGTAACCTTGCGGAAGCTGGACAGGGAGAGGAGAGGAGAGGAGAGGAGGAGAGAGGAGGGGAAAGGAGGTGAGAGGAGGAGAGAGGAGGGGAGGGAAGGGGAGGGAAGGTGAGGGGAGGGGTGGAAAAGGGAGAAGAGCACAGCACAGACACCAGGCACCCCAACGCTCCTGACAGGAGCCCAGCCCTAGCATTAAGAGCATCAAATGCAAGTGGTGGAAACAGAAAGCACACATACCCCACTACACCCCACCCCACAGCACCCCACTAAGAACTCATACCCAGCACATCACTCCTCACGCCTTCCCCTCCACCACACCGCACCCGTCACCCCACACCACACCCCACCCCACCCCACCCACCCTGCATGCCAATGCCTCTCATGGCTGCCCAGGCGCCAGCAATGAGAGCCCCTGAGCGACTGCCAGAGACAGTGGGAGACACGTACAGGCCACCACTCCACTCCGTCACTGCATGCCAGGGACAGGGCCCACGGGGGAAAGCATGGGGTAGGGAGGGAGAGGGGGGAAGTGGGGCAGGGGCAGAGGGGAAGGTTGAGAATCTGAAGGGGCAGCAATGAGCGACCCTGAGAGACTGCCAGAGACAGTGGGAGACACGTACAGGCCACCACTCCACTCCGTCACTGCACGCCGGAGTGGGGAGAGAGAAGAGGGGAGAGTGGCAAGGGGAACGAGGGAGTGGTGAAGGGGCAGGGCGGAGGAGAAGGGGCAAGGGTGCAAGGGGAAGGAAGGGCGCAGGGGCAGAGGGCAGGGCAAAAAAAGTGGTGATTGAGAGGGTTGAAGCTAGAAGCAGGAGGATACAGAGGGGTGCTGTGTAATGGTGGTTGATTGATCACTAAGAATGCTGTGGTGATTCCACTGAGAAGACGGGTAGACATAGCAGCACGTGACAACGAGTGCTGTAGACTGGTCATTGGTGGTTGATTGATTCATTCTGTGGTAGCATCACTGTGATGCCATTAACCCCAAATGGGTAGATGATAGACATCAGACACGGCAGCAGACATGGCAAGAGGCAGGGCAAGAGGCACAGCAAGAGGCACGGCAAGAGGCACGGCTAGAGGCACGGCAAGAGGCACGGCAAGAGGCACGGCAAGAGGCACGGCAAGAGAAACGGCAAGAGGCACGGCAAGTGGCACGGCAAGAGGCACGGCAAGAGGCACGGCAAGAGGCACTGCAAGAGGCACAGCAAGAGGCACGGCAAGAGGCACGGCAAGAGGCACGGCAAGAGGCACGGCAAGAGGCACGGCAAGAGACACGGCAAGAGGCACGGCAAGAGGCACGGCAAGAGAAACAGCAGGAGGCACGGCAAGAGGCACGGCAAGAGGCACGGCAAGAGGCACGGCAAGAGAAACAGCAAGAGGCACGGCAAGAGAAACAGCAAGAGGCACGGCAAGAGACATGGTTGTAGCTTCTACGAATGCCAGACACTCACCAGCACAGAATTGATGCTGATAGCATGGTGGAGCCGTGTTGATCAAGGCGTGTTGGTTGGTATTGAGGAGGGAGACACAGGGAGTAACACAGGAAAGAAGGGGAGAGGAGAGAGAACAGGCGAGGTAAGGACGAGGGTCAGGCGAGGAGCGAGGGGCGAGGGGGGAGCAGCACCGTTAGAGCAATATACAGGCGAGGGGGCGTAAAATAAACATAGCACGCACATGCTCTACATACATGTGGAAAAAGCGGAACGGGGTTGGCGAGACAAGGGGGGAAGGTGGGAGGAATGGGTGTATAGGGGCTAGCACGGGCAAGAAAGGAGAAACGATTGTCATTTTGTTCTGATTGTTCGTCCTGATCTCCCGGATGGGTTGATCAAGAGACAGCGCCACGGGCTGACACCTCGGGCGTGCCCTTGGATGTGGTGTCAGTCCCTCGTCATCCGTCCCCGCCCCCCCCAGTCCCCCCACTCCCCCACCCCCCTTTCTCACCTTCCTGATCTCTATATTCCGGTACAGCACCTCGGGCGTGCCCTTGGATGTGGTGTCAGTCCCTCGTCATCCATCCCCGCCCCCCCCAGTCCCCCCACTCCCCCACCCCCCTTTCTCACCTTCCTGATCTCTATATTCCGGTACAGCACCTCGGGCGTGCCCTTGGATGTGGTGTCAGTCCCTCGTCATCCATCCCCGCCCCCCCCAGTCCCCCCACTCCCCCACCCCCCTTTCTCACCTTCCTGATCTCTATATTCCGGTGCAGCACCTCGGGCGTGCCCTTGGGTTGGACTCTCCATTCGACATGACAACACCCAGACCACAACACAGTCCGTCCATCTCCCCCGCATTCTCACCTTCCTGATCTCCCTGTTCCGGTACAGCACCTCGGGCGTGCCCTTGGGTTGGACTCTCCATTTGACAACACACCCAGCACGCACTTCCCCCTGCTCCAACGCTCTCCCCGACCACGCATCCTCACCTTCCTGATCTCCCTGTTGCGGTACAGCACTACGGACGTGCCCTTGGGAGCGAGGCCGTACTTATGGCAGTCCACCGACATGGACGTCACTCCAGGGACTGAGAAGTCAAAGGGCGGCAGGGGGTAGCTGGGAAAGGGAGAGGAGAGGAAGGGAGAAGGGACGGTAGTGTGTGAGGCATGGCAATGCGTTGAGGGTTGCCCTTGGGAGCGAGGCGGTACTTGTGGCAGTCCACCGACATGGACGTCACTCCAGGGACTGAGAAGTCAAATGGGGGCAGGGGGTAGCTGGGAAAGGGAGAGGAGAGGAAGGGAGAAGGGACGGTAGTGTGTGAGGCATGGCAATGCGTTGAGGGTTGCCCTTGGGAGCGAGGCGGTACTTGTGGCAGTCCACCGACATGGACGTCACTCCAGGGACTGAGAAGTCAAAGGGCGGCAGGGGGTAGCTGGGAGAGAACATGCAGGGGAGAGGTGGGGAGGAAGGTGGGGAGAGGGGAGGCAGAGGGAGCAGAGGCAGAAGAGAGGCAAAGAGCGGCAAAAGGAACAGCAGGAAGTAGAGAGAGGTGAATCAGGGAGGCAATGGGGTGGGGGATGGAGAATAAGACTCGTGTGTTGTTGGAGGGGCGGGGGTGGGGGGAAGGGGAGAGGGTGATTGGATGAGAGTGAGATGTGGAGAAGGTAAAATAGGAGAAAGGAAGTGAAGAGGGGAATGCAGAAGGGGAGTGGGAAAGGCGGAAGGGGAGTAGGAAAGGCGGAAGGGGAGTAGGAAAGGCGGAAGGGGAGAGGGGAAAGCGGAACGGACCCGAGCTTCTTAGCAAAGGGCAGCACGAAGCCTCCGAGGCAGCAGTCCACATGCAGGCACGTGCCCCAGCGCAATGCTATTTCGCCCAACTCCTGCCAGGTGTGAAGGAAGGAAGCAGGGGGAAATGGGATGAAAGGAGGTGACCAAGAGTGGAAAACCAAGAGTGCAAGTAGTGACTTTTGAGCCCATCTGAAAGAACATGCAGGCACATGCCCCAGCGCAGTGCTATCTCTCCCTCCCCAACGCTTCCCAACGCTTCTACCATAGACTCTGAACTACAATAGCGGGTGGGATGAGATGAGAGCACACATAGGCGATGGGATGAGAGCACACTGTCCATTGCAATGCAGTAGATGCATACCGGAATGGGGTCGATGATGCCGTGTGGAAAGCCCGGCGCCGATGCCACGATCTGCATGACAGAACAACGAGAGGGAGAGGTCGCGGCAGGGCGGAGGGAGGAGAATGAGGGAGGGAGAAGAGGAAGGAGAGGGAGAAGAGGGAGAAGAGGAAGCATAGGGAGGAGAGACGGAGTGTAAAGAGAGCGGGCATGTGAACAGGAATTCGACATTCCACAGCAGCATGGGAAAGGCAACAACGGCTGGCGGGAAGCGGCTTCTGATGCCTCGAAAGGAGCCTGGTAGGTATCAAAGGTTTTTTGGCAAGAAGCAACCTCGAGAGCTTTCACCAGGCCACAGAGCTCTCAGATCCCCTGTCCTGTTGAGACCACTTTTGAGACGCCTCAAAAGTCACTGTTGAGAACAGAGGTGCACCAGCAAAAAGCTGAGACGTCTCAAAAGCTTTCACCAGGCCACAGAGCTCTCAGATCCCCTGTTGAGACCACTTTTGAGACCTCTCAGATCTCAAAAGCCACTGTTGAGACACCAGGCCACCAGACGTTTCTAAAGCTCTCACCAGCACGGTGTTGCGGGAGCAGAGGTGCTGTGCCGCACTGCATCCACCTCCAGTGCAGTGCAGGTGTGGATGATACCAAACTATGAAATACCAACACCCGCACAGGGTCTCACCAAGCCCTCACACAGCTCTCACCAGCACGGTGTTGCGGGAGCAGAGGCGCCGCACAGCATATATCCACCTCCACACACCAGTCGCCAATACTGCCACACGTGAAGGCTCAACACACACACGCACACACACACACAGATCTCCCCAGCCCAGCCCACAGCTCTCCCCTCCACTCTTGAGACATCTCTAAAGTTCCCACCATCCCACAGCTCTCACCAGCACGGTGTTGCGGGAGCAGAGGCGCCGCACAGCATCCACCTCCACACACCAGTCGTCCGCCACGGGCGCTCGCAGCAGGTGCACCTGGAAGTACTCCGCTGCCTTGTCGTACGCTGCATGCGCCGACACGGGCACTATCCTGTGTGGGTGGAGTTTGCGGGTGGTGCGTGGGTGGTGTGTGGGTGGTGCGTGGGTGGTGCGTGGGTGCATAGGTGCAAGGGTGGGGGAGGGTGAGAGGAAGAAGAAGAATAGTCTGGTAGAGCAAGGGTGGGGAAGGGTGGGGTGAAGTACTCCGCTGCCTTATCATTCGCTGCATGCGCAAACACCGGCACTATCCCGTGTGGACAACATGCGTCAGGAATCACATACGCGGTAACTGGAATCACATACGCGGTAACTGGAATCACATACGCGGTAACTGGAATCACATACGCGGTAACTGGAATCACATACGCGGTAACTGGAATCACATACGCGGTAACTGGAATCACATACGCGGTAACTGGAATCACATACGCGGTAACTGGAATCACATACACGGTAACTGGAATCACATACGCGGTAACTGGAATCACATACGCGGTAACTGGAATCACATACGCGGTAACTGGAACAACCAGCACCACCAGCAGCATCAGCAGCACCAGCAGCATCAGCAGCAGCACTCACATCTCGGGGCGAGTGATGCCTTTCTTGGCACACATGTAATCCCTAGCCGCCTTCACAGCCATCAGAATACTCTCCGATCCCCCACTCGTCATGTTCCCACACACCTCCCTCCCCGCCCCTCCCTTCTCCCCTTTCGCTCCGCCCTTAATCCCCTTCCCCCCCTTCCCCCCCGCATCCCCCGCCCCCTTCTCTCCCCCCTGCTCCGCCCTGCCATCACTCCCCCCCCCATCTCCTCCCCCCAGCAGGGCCGCCGTCATTGCAACCACCTCCGCCTCGAAGCGAGTGATGCTGGGGAAGACGTCTGGATGCAAGGGATTGGTGTGCTGAAACCTGGGGGGGTTGTGGGGGGGGGATAGGAGGAGGAAAGGAAGGGTGGAAAATGGAGGGGGCAGGTTGAATGGAGGGAAGAAGGACAAGAACGAGTGATGCTGGGGAAGGCGTCTGGATGCAAGGGGTTGGTGTGTTGGAACCTGGGGGGGGGGGGAGGGTGGAGGGGAGGAGGCAAGAAAGGAGGGGGTGGGAAGAGGAGGGGGGAAGTTAGACAGAGGGAAAAGAGCGAGTGATGCTTTGGGGAAGACGTCTGGATGCAAGGGGTTGGTGTGCCGGAACCTGGGGGGGTGGAGAACGAAAAGGGCGAGGAGGGGGGACAGAGAGGAGTGGGAGGGAGGAAAAAGGAGGGGTAGGAAAGGGAGGGGGAAAGATAGACAAAAGGAAGAGGAAACGAGCGAGCTATGCTGGGGAAGACGGCCAGGTGCGAAGGGTGGGCTGCTGTGCTGAAACCTGGCTGGGTGGAGAAGATGAGGAGGGTGAGAGGATGCTGTTTCGGACAGCTTGAGAGGGGCTCAATGCTGAGAGGGGCTCAATGCTGAGACATTGCATCATGCACCCGAAACGAGACATTGCATTGCACGCGTTGATTGATTTCTATCATGTGACTGGCTGGGCTGGGCCCCGCCTTGATGTGCCTCAACAGTCGCACGCACATGCCCAAACCCACACCCGGTTACATGGTGATGCGGCCTTACAACCCTCTTACACCCTCTTCCCAACCGCAAACAGCCACTCACAAGGTGTACGCATCTGATATCAGCTTCATGTGCTTCTCGTATGACTCCCCGCCCACATAGCTGGTTGGGAGCAAGAGAGGGAGGGAACACGGGAAGAGAGAGCGAGAGAAGGGGGAGAATATGGGGAAGGAAGAGGGGAGTGGGGAGGGATGGGAGACAGGGGAATGGGAAGAGGAGAGGCCTTCGTATGAATAACACAAGGATTTGCGGTCACATAGCTAGCTGATGAGGGATGAGGGACGGGGGGGTGGGATGGGGGGGGGGGGGACTATGAAGAGAAGCGAGTGAGGAGGGAATTAGAGAGGGAGCGAGGGAGGGAGGCGAGTAGGGGAGGGGGAGTGAGGCGGGGTGAGAGGGGGGTTGAGGGCGAGAGTACTTGATTTGGCAAAGGTGTGAGTATGGGCAGCAATACAGTAGCGATAAGAAAGGTCAGGGACGTAGGGAGGGAAACGAGGTGGGTGGGACGAGAGGGACCACCAGCAGGAAGGAAGAATGGAGAAAGGGAGGGAACAAGAAAAACTGGATTTTTTAACAGCGTGGCAGTTGTGTGTACAAGCCAGGTGTGTTTTGAGTCGACTCAAAACACACCTGGAACAAAGGGCTTCTCATCCATACGCACTTCCGCTTCCTTTTTCCCTCCCTCTTTTCCACCCTCCCTCCCTCCCTCCCTCCCTCCCTCCCTCCCTCCCTCCCTCCCTCCCTCCCTCCCTCCCTCCCTCCCTCCCTCCCTCCCTCCCTCCCTTCCTCCCCCTTTCCCTCCCCCTTTCCCTCCCGCTTCCCTCCCTCCCACCCTCCCTCCCTCCCTCCCTCCCTCCCTCCCTCCCTCCCTTCCTCCCCCTTTCCCTCCCTCTTTCCCTCCCGCTTCCCTCCCTCCCACCCTCCCTCCCACCCTCCCTCCCTCTTTCCCTCCCTCCCCTTTTCCTCCCCTCCTCCCACTCACACGGTCCCAGAGCACCGCCCCTGCCACGCCTTGTCCTTATCCCTCAGCGCGCGCATCTCCCCCAGCACCTCGTCCGCCTCTGCGCCCACGTCTGGCAGCCTCTTGCGCCACTGCGCGCGCTCCTTGCTGCTGCTGCCGCCCCCCGCTATCTGCGCCCTGGCCTGCAGGCGCGGAGGGGGGAAGGGGCGCGGGGGAGAGGGACGCGCGGAGGGGAGCGTGGGGAACGGGGGGGAGGAATGAGGCGCAAAAAGATGCTCCTGCCTGGATTTCTATGCCGAGCACCGCCCAGCGTCGCTCAGCACCGCCCAGCACCGCCTAGTACCTCTCCTGCTGCCCAGCACCTCCTCTACTCAATGACTCAGTACCGTTTGTGGAAGGTCTCAAAGGCCAATCAACTGACGCTTTCTATAGCCCCTATACTGACCTATACTGCTCCCCCTACGCACCACCCCCGGCTCCCCTGGTCCTCAGTGGCCCCTTTGAGCCGACTCAAAAGGTTGCTCAGCACATCCCCTACCCTGCCTCCCTGTTACTCAGTAGCCTCTTCCGTCACTGCCTGCGCCTCCTGCTAGTACTGCTGGTGAAGCCATAGTCACAGCCACCAGCAGCAGCACGTGCATGCTGCTGCTGCTGCCCAGAAACCTCGCTTTGATCTGCAAGAAAGGGTAGAGCCGTGCTATCACACACGCGTACCTTGGCCTGCTGCTCTTCCACGTAGGCCTTCACGCCTGGAACAAGCCTGGAGAGACATGGATGGGGGAGGAGGGGCGAAAGTAAGGGAGGGGATAAGAAGGAGAGTGTGAGTGAGTGAGTGAGGAAGAGGTGTGCAAGCCTTTCGGGAAGAAGAGAAACGTTGCGACAATGTAACAGCTGGAGGAACAAGTTTGACGAATAAATGAGCTAGGGGCTGAGTGAATGAGTGAATGAATGCACAGGAAGTGATGCATGCCTGAAACGAGTGGTGCACTAACGAGTCAAAGGACAACGAGGGGTCCACAGGGGATTCACCTGATGAGGGAGAAGAAGAGGGCAATTAGAGAGGGTACTAGGCCTGGTATTCGGGCGACACACAAGAACCGAGGAGGATGGGGAGGAATCGGAAGGTATTGGTTGGGATGGAATGATGGGATGGGATGGGAGGGACGAAAACGACCCATGTGATGAGATGGCGAAGCAAAACGGCCACGCGGATAGTAGCAGCATTTGCAGTCGACTCAAGAGATGAGACGGAGGAGGAACACGGCCATTTGGTTTCTCAGTCGACTCAAAGATCAGTTCGGACCATCAGACGCTTTAACGACAACAATATCGTTCTGAATCTCCGACTACCACCGCAGATTCGGCCCTGAAGCGGGTCTATTGGAGGCTATTCCTTAAATAGTCGCCTCTGACCAAATCCGCGAGAGTTTAGACCGAATCTGCGGAAATTTGAATTGAATCCGCGCGACTGTAGACCGCATCCGCGCACCTTGGTACCGGATCTGCGCAGCAGCAGCACCCGCGACTTGCGCGAGTTTCCCCCCCACCACCGCCGCGAGCAGCGCCGCCACCAGCAGCTGCAGCGGCTCGAATTTTCCCAGCGCCTCGTTCGCCGCGTCGCGCCACTCCTGCGCCACGGCGAGCGCGGCTTGCGTGCGCGCCTCGAGCGCGCCCCAGTAGCCGTTTTCAGACCAATCATTCATGGGACAGCTTCCGCCGGGGACGGCGCCGTAGTGAGGTAAGGCGGCGACTGGCGGAGTTAATCGGACGGCGAATAGGAGCACGGCGACGACGAGGAGGAGGAGATTAGAGACGGCGCCGCGCGAAAAGAGTGCGGAGGGGAGTCGTCGCGAGCGGGATTCGCGGATTAAGGTGGGGATAGGGAGGGAGGAGAGAGGGGGAATAAAAGAAGAAACGGCGGGCGCCATGACTAGGCTGTGATGATTCTCCGGTATCAGAGAAAGCGAGATAGCCAGCGTCAAGGGAACGAACGAGGCATCAGGAAAAGAACATCTAAGACGCCTTAGTGCATCGCAACGCCGGTGGCGCCGTGCGCGTGAAAATCTAGTCGTCAGCGGAAATGCAAGGAAGAGCTCGAGGAGTCCTGTCTAAAGGCGTGAAATGCTCCACGTCCTCAAGGCGTGATTACTCCTTTCGTGTCTTGTCTAGGAACCAAGCGCTGACGTGGAGTACGTCGTAGTTTTCGAGGCAGGATCCTTGTCCAGCGCACAAGAACGCCCGCTACAGAGGGCTGCGATTGTTTCGTAACAATGAGAAACTGCGACATCCAAGTTAATCCAGATTCAGATGGACATAGGAACTCTTGAATAAGAACTCTGCGCTGAATTCAAGTGAATAATATTTTTATTTGCAGATATATTTTTAATAAGCTAAAAGTTATTTAGACAAGTTTTAAGGTACTCTGAATATGCTAGAGTTAATTGCTCACACCATTGGATTCGCTCAATTATTATTTTCACAATGTATTATAGATATCAATTAAATCCTACAGCCAATCCTGCTATAAGCAAAATTTTGAACCAAAGCTTTCAAACCGAGTCAGTCCCGCGCCCCGGAACTGACTCAGGTGTCAGCGCTTTCTGCCTCTCTGCCAGCACGCCCTTTCACACATCCTCCAACAGACGCGCCGCGAATTCTCAAGTCAACTGTTTCTTCCCATCGCATGCATAGCAGACTCCGATGCCCGACCCGATTCCCCCATCCCATCCATCCATCTCTTCACATTCCCCCACCACAAGCATTGTACGAATCGACTTTTTCCTACCGTTGCATGGATCCATATGCTGCTGCAAGCCAACAGCCATGTACCTGTCCGCCGCCGCTTCTCGTGGCGTCGCAAGCAGTCGCAACCGCAGGAGCAGCCGCCGACTCTTCAGTAACGAGGCATTCCAAAGAGTCGGGATGATCAGCCGTAGGACCCTCGAGTCGGCGTCAGACCTTATATCCTGTTGTTTGTCATCTTTGTTCCACATTCAGTATCGCCTTCATCGTGCTAGCAATAGGTCTCCGAACTGTCTCGCTGGTGCAGTAGCGTTCCCGTTTTGACCGATCGGCCTTTTCCATTCGGAGTGTCACCTCACAGTCTGTCCCGCTTGACGGTTCCGTTCTGTGGCTTCGTCGCGTGTCAGGACCTAGTATTGCCTTGTGATTTTAGCGGCGAGCACTGCGCATGGTGAGAAGTAGAAACTTGCTCTCGCAACACGACAAACGGAGATCTGTCCCAAATATTCTCCTCTGTATCCGTTCTGATAATACTCCCAAGTCGAGATTTTGAATTCCTGATATGTAAAGCCGTCAGCAAACGAGCAATGGAGCGTTAAAATATCTGTCTTTCCGCGTTTCAGGGCTTCTCCAGGCTCTTCGGCGGGCACGATCAACCCAAGGCAGCTGGAGCGAAGGTGCGTGCCGCTCGGAAGATCCGAGCATGTTTTCCTGCCAGCAGCTTACGGGCCTGTTATAGTCGTACTCGATCCGTTCGTTCGTGACTCCTAACCCTAACGATTCCACGCATGCCGCGTATCTTTTCGTATCACTCTACAAGCTCGTCGCCATAATTTGTGTACTTATATCGTTATCTCTATGATTACGTGCAGGAAGCATCCAGTACGAAAGGTGTTGGCGTTGACGTGCCGTACTGGAAGAAGCTTCCAAGGAGATACGAGCAGCTGAAGCGCAAGGCGGCGGAGTTACGACGGCGGAGGGAGCACCAGGAGAAGCGCGCCAAGCAGCTGGCGCTGCAGCGGGAACGCGCGCAGCAAAAGGCGAAGGAACGGCAGCAACGAGAGAGGAAACCAGTGAAGTCGCAGGCGCAGCAACAGCAGCTGACGCCTAGCACGAGAATGGACATTTGCGAACAGGAGTGCCTTAGAAAGCCTGGTAACGAGCATGCTTATATGGAGGATCTAATGAGCCCTCGCAGTGTATGTGATAGTAATCGTGCTATGGAGCACGGTCAGGCAGCTTAGAAATGGTTGATGGTACGGTAAGTAGAGATAGTTCAATAGAATGCTAGGTTTCTCAAAGCAGGGGTGATAAGATGGGTGGGTGGGTGGGTGCCTCTTACTTTTAGCCAGCATGCATCCGATGTCATTCATTATGTAATATTATCCTTAAAGTGAGAATCTGGGTGGGGAGTTTCTGGAGCAGTGGGTTGAATTGGATCAAGCTACATGGTAGTGTATAAATGGAGATTTACATGGATCAGTCTCCATGCACATACGGTGCCGTGCCAGTGTAAGAACAAGCTCCTTGGGGATGAAAGGAAAGCTCCGCGAATAGTTTGCATAAGGCACCTGCTATGCACAAAACACGCTTGTCATCGCTGTAAGGTACACTGTTCTGATCCTGTACATGCTCAGAGCAAAGCAAGCTCACATTTGAAGAATATACAGTATTTTGCGTTTCCTGGTTGAACTGATTGCACCTCAAACTGAAATGAGAGCTACTATATATGGAACATAACAGCCTAGACTTAACTCTTCTAAATACAGAGAAAAGCAGAAGCAATATATTGAGGAAAGAAACTGGACGTAACAAGTTGACTGCACAAGACGGTTCAGAAAGAAAACGGCATTCTCTCCTACACCTCCCACACACAAAATGTGCATACAAAGCAACAGCCTTGCGAAAAGGGATGCCCATAACCAAATCCTATGCAGTGCTACACAAGCAGCTGTACTTATGCAGAGAGCAGGTGCTGCAACAGCTGCGCACAGGGAATATAACCGTGCAGCAGCAGGTAGCAGAGGGATTGCTAGTGCGGCTGGCAGGGGCACAAAGCGGTGCAGGGATGAGCATCAGGGGTGCAGCAGAAGGGTTGCTGGTGGACTGTGTTAGCAGGGGGGTACCCTGCGGTGGAAAAAGGTTGTGATGGGTTTGACACGCAGTGGGGGGTGGGTGGTGGTGCTGCTGCCAGGAGCTGCTGGCTGTGCTGGCGGTGGTGTGGCTGGCGCTGCTGCTGCTGCTGCTGCTGCTCCCGCAGTTGCTCCTTGTGCTGAAAGGAGGGTCCAATAAGGAGGAATTGGGAAAAAGTTTGCTGTATTTGAAATTGTGTTTTGAGAACCTTCAAAAGCAACCAGGACTTGTGCGGTGTGTTTTAGACGGCTTGGAAACAAGCAGATTTGACAAGTGAATCAGCAGCTGGAACAACTAGAGCAGCAAGAGCAGTAGCTGGGAAAGGAGTGAGGACGAAACATAGAGGGCAGGGGAAGAGAGGGGAGGAAGGGGTATGTGTGTGGGGGCTGTGGGGGAAAGGGGAAGGGGAAGGGGAAGGGAGGGGGAAGGGGGGAGGAGGGGGGAGGGGAAGAAAGTGGGCAGAGCAGTTGAAAAGGGCAGCAAAGCTCACCAGAGGTAAGAGGTTTCACAGGAGTGGTTGTCAAATCACCCTTGCCCAGAGCCCCTGGCACTGCTGCTGCCCCAGGGGTTGTAAGCATGTGCCCTGCTATACCAGCAGATGCACAGGCACCACCACCGGCAGCAGCTACAGGCCTCTTAAAGCCATTGCCGGCACACACGCCAGAGTGAGGACTCATACACAGACCCGCACCCAGGGGTGTAAACTGAACCGGCCCTACAGCAGTTGCCACAGCTGCTGCTGTTGCTGTTGTTGCTGCGGCTTGTCCTTGTGGTGAAGATAACCAGGTTGGGTGCGGTGCAGAGGGGCGTCGGGGAGGTACAGGGAGTAGGATCTGGGTCGTGGTGCCCCACCCAACCGCTCGCCTCTTCCTCCTGTGCTGCACTTGTTGGTCATCCGCAGTAGCAGCACTGTCAATCGTCACACCCTCTCTGCTGCTCTTAGGCTCAGCACTAGCAAAGTCAGCACTATCCAACCTACTGCAGCCCTCCTTAAAAACCGATGCCTCGTGCTTCTCCTTCACATGCTGTGTCTTGTCCATCTCGTCAACACCCATGCCACCCTCTGCCTTGCCTCCCTCAATAGCTTCCTGTGTCTTGCCTCCAACAAACCCTCCATCCATCTCTGCCTTGCCCTTGTTCAAATCCTGCTCCGTGGTCCCCTCTCTTCCTATGCTCGCAGTCGTTCCAGTCCCTCCCGTGTCTCCTGCATCTCCTGTCTCTCCTGTTTTATCTGCCCCCCCTCCGTTCCCTGCACTCGCTGCGTTCCCTACATTCCCTACACCATCTGCGGTTCCTGTGTCTTTTGTGGGTCCCAAGGCCCCTGTGTCCCCTACAGGAACTGTGCTGCTGCTGCGGATTGCGCCAGGCCCTGCCTCTCTCTTGCGCTTGCCACCCCACTTAGGCAGCACCACATGCTGATGTGAGGGGGGAGGGATAGGGGAGAGGGGAGAGGGGAGGGGATGGCGGGGGAGAGAGAGGAGATGGAGATTTGAGGGGAGAGGGGAGATGTGAGGGAGGGTTTTCGGTACGTGTTTCTGAGACGCGTAACAAAATTGACGAGACCTGCAACACGTACCTGACGTTTGCGCGGTTGAAATGGAGATGGAGCGGTGGGAAGGAGGGGCAGGGATATGAGCATGGTTGGTTCAAGCACTTGCACTGCCAGGGCTTGCAAGTATCGCAGATGCTGCTGCTGCTGTTGCTGCTGCTGCTGCTGAATCTGCTTTTCTAGCTTTCCTTCCTCCTGCTTAGCTTTCTCTTGCCCCACCGGCTTATCCCCCCTTTCGTGCTGACCAGAATCACCGCCACAAGCAGCAGGAGCAGCAGCGGCAACACCACCAACACCATCACCAGCAGTAACACCAGCACCAGCAGCAGCAGCAGCAGGAGTAGGAGCAGGCAGAGCAGCAGCAGAAGGCGGAGCAGCAGCAGCAGGAGGCGGAACAGCAGCAGCAGCGCCAGGGAGAGCGTGCAGCAGCACAGGTCTACCCACTGCTAGTGCCCTCTGCACTGCCTTTTGCAACACCTGCACCTGCCAGTCCGCTGGTCGCCCCTCCTCCCCCCCTCTCTCCCCCTTCTCCCCTCGCTCTACCTTCTCCCCTCTCTCCGGCCCCCCTGCGCCTGTCGCCCCCCCCGCCCTGCTTGCTGCTGTGGCAGCAGGGGAATCAGGCGCAGCAGCAGCACCACCACCACCAGCAGCAGCAGCAGCACCAGCAGGGGCGGCACGAGCGCAGACATCCACCCCTTCATCCGCTGACAAATAACCATCTGGCACCACAAATCCATCCTCCTCCTCCTCGTCCTCCCCATCACCACCTTCTTCTGGGTCGATCTTATCCAGATCGTCCTCTCCGTCGGAATCCGACAAGCTTTCGCCTGCCGGGTCCTCCTGTTGGAAGCAAAAGGGGGTGGAAGAGGGGGCGATTGGCGAGGGTGGCGAAGGGGGGAGGGGGGGCAAAATCAAGAAAAACATAAAAACACAATCGCAGTAAAAGGCACACCTTGAGGGACCTCTTATGAACAAATCTTGCTTGATTCTTCACGTTGGTCGGTCGTGCACGCATCTTGAAACTCTTGCAAGAATGCTCGCTCTCACCAGAACCTACGAGTTTTGACACATGTCGATACTTTTTCCACATACCTTACAAAGCAACTGAACCACCTACTACCGTCAACGTCCAAACTATGTTACTTCCCCTTTTGGAAGGCGAGCAACTTACTTCTTTCTCGGAAACGACAAGTCGACTTCTTTCGTTTGATTAAAGAGTGCCATACCTCCTCCCACTCGGCCTCGCTGTCCACCTCATAGTTGAGAACTGGGTCCTTAAGCAACGGAATGTACCTCCTCTTGCCAACGCCCAACTATTACCATCTTACCTACTCTTTTGGGAAGTAAGCGTCTTACCTCCTCTTTTGGGAAGTAAGCGTCTTACCTCCTCTTTCAAGCGCATAACTCTCACCTCCTCCCACTCGGCCTCGCTGTCCACATCGTAGTTGAGAACTGGGTCCTTGCGCAACGGTGCACGCGGCCTCACCACACCACTGCTGTAACATGCCATGCCATACCATGCCATACACATGAAGTGCCAGGCCATACAAGGGAATGCTAGGCCATGCCGTGCCATGCAAGGAGATGCCATGTCATGCCGCCATACAAGGAAATGTCATGCCATGCCATGCCATGCCATGCCATGCCATGCCGTGCCATGCCATTCCATGCCATGCCGTGCCATGCCATTCCATTCCATGCCATGCCGTGCCATGCCATTCCATGCCATGCCGTGCCATGCCATTCCATGCCATGCCGTGCCATGCCATGCCATGCCATGCCGTGCCATGCCATTCCATGCCATGCCGTGCCATGCCATGCCATGCCATGCCGTGCCATGCCATGCCATGCCATGCCGTGCCATGCCATGCCATGCCATGCCGTGCCATGCCATGCCATGCCATGCCGTGCCATGCCGTGCCATGCCATGCCGTGCCATGCCGTGCCATGCCGTGCCATGCCATGCCGTGCCATGCCGTGCCATGCCGTGCCATGCCGTGCCATGCCGTGCCATGCCGTGCCATGCCGTGCCATGCCGTGCCATGCCGTGCCATGCCGTGCCATGCCGTGCCATGCCGTGCCATGCCATGCCATGCCATGCCGTGCCATGCCGTGCCATGCCATGCCGTGCCATGCCGTGCCATGCCATGCCGTGCCATGCCGTGCCATGCCATGCCGTGCCATGCCGTGCCATGCCGTGCCATGCCATGCCGTGCCATGCCGTGCCATGCCGTGCCATGCCGTGCCATGCCGTGCCATGCCGTGCCATGCCGTGCCATGCCGTGCCATGCCGTGCCATGCCGTGCCATGCCAGACAATGCGAGGAAATGCCACACAGCGAGCAGGTCGTTGGAAAAGGGGACAACATGTGCGGGATTAGAGGAGGTGACGAGAGGAGCTGGTGAAAGGAGGTCTGGGTTCAGAGAGGCTAACGAGCTGTTATTCTAAAGTGTCCATGCTACTTGATGCACCATTAGCAAGCGGCAAGTAGCAAGCAGGTACAGTGTAAAGCATACAGAGAGTCCCATTCCCACGGGTTTCAAGGCGTCCTATTGATGCCTTAAGTCCGCCGCAAGCTTATGCTGCCCGCAACTAAGAAATTAAGAACGTACCTGGCGAGGGAGTAGGTGCCGTAATACGCAGGCCTTGTGTTCTCCGCGAATTGCAGCAGCTTCTTCCGCCTCCGCTCCCTCCTTCGCACGTCCCACTGCTTCCCCTCTCCCCCACGCTCATCTCCGCCCCCTTCCCCTTCTCCTCCCCGCTCCCCCTTCCCCTTCCCCGCACCCTTCTCCCGCTCGGTTTTACCCGTCCCGTTCCCCAATTCAACCAACACACCAACATCCCTTCCTTCCGCCGCATCACCTCCTGGTTCCCCCCCATCCGCCCCCCCTTCTTCCCCACCCACCAGTCGCATCACCTCATCCTCCTCCTTAGCCGCCTGTCCCTTCTTTCCCAGCCCAACGGCCCCAGTGGGATCGGCGCACGATCCTGCACTAGTGACCGAAACACCACCGCCGGCAGCACCCGCCGCACCTCCAGCCTTTGCTGCTGCTGCTGCGCCCGCGCCCGCGTGCTTATGCGCGCGCCCGACGGCGCTGCTGCTGCTGCCGACGTCGGGCGGAGCAACGCGCGGAAGCTTGCGCGTTCCCCACGGCCTGTGCCTGCAGCGGCGGCGGATGCTCTGGGCGCTTGGCTTGGAAGGCGGGTCGGTGGGGGCAAGGGCGTGGTGTGCGTTCCACTTCTGGCACAGGGAACTGGACGGGTGGAAAGGGGTTGGGGGGTTGGAGGACGGTGGAAAGGCGGGGAGTGAGCGGAGGGCGGGGAGAACGCAGAGGGCGGGGAGTGAGCGGAGGGCGGGGAGAACGCAGAGGGCGGGGAGTGAGCGGAGGGCGGGGAGTGAGCGGAGGGCGGGGAGTGAGCGGAGGGCGGGCAGAACGCAGAGGGCGGGGAGTGCGCGGAGAGGCGGAAACTCTATGAATGGGATCAGATGATTGGAACAGGTTATTGCAACGAACAATCGGGAGTGAAGGTGATGGCTGGGATATTCTCAACACCAAGAGAGGGGGCAGACAGAATAAAAATCCACACTCCGCACCCCTTCACCCACTCCCCTCCCCGCAGCGCGTGCCCACTCTTTTCCCCCAGCGTGCACGCCCGACCCCAGAGCGCGCCCACTCCTTTCCCCCACCGCATCCCACCTGAGCAGCTCCGCCTGGGTTAGCGCGCACGGGCGCGCAAGCTGCGCGTCAATGGCCTCTGTGCTGGCGGACAGAGGCGCGCCAAGCCGCGCTGCGCTGGCCGGCGGCGGAAGAAAAGGGGAAGCCTTCGCGGCAGGGGGAGGCTTCTCCCCCGCCCCGCTCCCCGAGGCCCCTGCCCCCGCGCCTGGCGCTTCCCCGGCCCCTCCGCCTGCTGCTGCGCCCGCGTGCGCTGGTTCCGCTGGAGCGGCGGAATCGGCAGGTGCAGCGGCTGCTGGAGAGGACTGTTGCGCGGAAGGGAAAGATTAAGAGCAGACAGCGAGGGAGAGTGAGAGAAAGAGAACGAGAGGATATTGAAACCAGGGAAACAACGAAGAAGGCAGGGGCAAGCGAGTGCTTTCAAGGCAATAAGACTCAAGCTTACAGGAAGCTCAAACAGAACAAGTCACGGCTCCAGAAAAAGGACGCTACGAAAACGAGCAAGTAGTTCGATTCAGGAGAGACATGAGTATTCTTATCGGTCCTTGCCTTAGTCTCGTCCTTCTTCTTGCCCAAAAACCGACTCATGAAATTAGCCGCTTTCTGCTTTGCCGCCCGCTGCTTCTCCTCCGCCTCCTCCTGCTTCTTCCGCTTGAGCTCCCTCTCTCGCTCCTCCTCCTTCCTTTTCGCCTCCTTCTCCTCTCGCGCTTTTTGCTTGCGCAGCCTCTCACCCTCCTCCTGCTGCCGCTTCTGCTCCTTCTCCTCTTCCTTCTTCTTCCTCTCCTCCTCCCGCTTCCGCCGCTTCTCCTCCTTCTCTTCATCCTCTTGCTTCTTCTTAGCTTCCATCTCCTCCCTTTTCTTCCTCTTCACTTCCTTCGCCTCCTCCTCCTTCTGTCGCTTCCTCTCCCTCTCTTCCTCTCGCTGCTTCCGCTTCAACTCTCGTTCAACCCCGTCCTTACTCGTCCCCTTCCCTCTCCCCTTTCGCGCTCCCGTTTTTGCCTTCACCAGATTACTGCTCCCTCCTCCCCCCATGCTCGTACCCCCCGCGAGGCAGCGAGTAGCTCCAGCGGCAGCGGTCACGGGGCCCTGACGAACGAAATCGGAGATTAATCTAGCACGAATTACCTCGCCGTCAATATGTCCCGCAATTTCCTCCGTTTCCGGCGCCCGGATCGTCTCTTTCGCCTCATTTCTCTCTTCCTCCTCCTCCTCTTCCCGATCTGTCTCCTCCTCGTCTTCCTCCTCCTCCTCTTCCATTTCGTCCCCCTCTGCGTCTTTCGTGTCTTCCGCTCCTGTCCCCCCCTCCACTGCTTTCCTCCCCTCCGCTTCTTTCATTCCCTCCGCTGATTTTTCCTCCTCCTCATTCTCACAGCCCTTCCTTGTCATTGCCGCACCTAGGGCTTCTCGACCGTTAGTAACGCCCGCCATCTCGGTCGGTCCGTCCTTTACTATGCTGACGTCACCAACCGCACCTCGCTCCGCTGCTGAGTCATCCGCCTGTCCAAGTGACGTGGGCCCAGGCAGTACTACCCTCGTTGTAATCCCCTTCACTTCAACCACTGCAGGTGAGTCCACGGATCCGCGCTTGACGACGCAATCGGCGCTTCCCATTTGACAGAAAATACCGAGTTTCCAATGGCTGCGGGAAGAAACGGAGGATAAGGGTTGAGGAACAAATGGTGAAGAACTAAGAGGCTGAAGGGCGTGATAAGACTTCGAGCGGGAAATTGAAAGAACGGTGCTGGGTCAGCAAAGAATGAGGAGAAGAAAAAAGACAATATCCAGGGAAACGAAACAACAAAAAAGAGAGAAAATGGGAAAGGCGGAAAGTGAATAAAGAGCGTAAACAACATTTTATGCGTAACAAAAAGGGTGGACACACGACACGTAGACGAAGAGAAAAGGTCTTTCATGTGTTTCCACATCAAGGCCCAGCACGACGCTTATCGTACCAAAGGAGTATGGCACGCTATCACTAGTCGGCGTTGATGCAGGGCCTTTTCATTGGTCAACGGTCGTCCAATGCGAAAGCGTGGCACATGTGTGAAACGTCCGGCGTCTTTCCAAGGTGGTCTTAAAAGGTCGACGGCACGAATGGCGCGAGAGGAGATATGTACGGCTGTCTGCGCGCGAGAACTACAATAAGCCGCAAGATAGCCGTTGCTCGGCGTTAAAACGGGATAGGACTATGTATGGGCATCCGATTACGAAAGGCAGCGAGATCGCAGTCAGGCAGGAACAATTAAAAGGAAAAGTATCGTAAGCACGAAATCTACGTCAAGTGAGCGGAAACAAGGCTGCACGATTTAGACGCCGTCAACGGCGATATAGAACAACGGTTTCGATGTGGCAAATGCATGCCTCTATTTCCTCTCTTGCCGTGCTAAAAGCGAAGCACGGTAGGAGCAGTGAGAACATATGAACGGCAAAAAGAATTCGAATAGCAAAGCAGAAAGGCAGTCAATCAAAAGAGCCGAGGAGGTCTGCGGAGTCGGGAGGGGAAGGGGGCGGAAGACTGGGCGGGTGCGCGGGGATGCCCGCGCGTCAATGTCAAGGCGGGAATGGCAGGAGTCGTTGGGGGGCTTCCCTCCCTCCCTCCCCTTCCGCGTGCCCAACCAGGATAGTGAGCGGGCCGTGGAAATGCATCGCATGGGGGAAACTGGTACTGTGCCTGGTGGAGAGTTCGGTTTGGAGATTGGAAAGCGCCCGCCTGCTGCTGATGCAGGTGCCGGTCTGGACGCAGGGGAGATGCGGAAAGAATGACACGCGTCACAGTGAAGCAGAGCGGAGCGGAGGTTCTTCCGCAAGTTGAAGGGCGGATATTCGCGCCAACGACTCGTGGCGCCCAAGGCTGGGTTGGGTTTGCATGTCCGAGAATTCAAATTCTGAAGTTCAAACATTCCAACGAGCGTTACTGTAGTGCCTCGATAGAAGCGGAAATTCGCTCAATGCAACTGACTTCAGTACAGATCATCAACTCCCTAAGCATGTTTGTTGACATATGGTTCTTCATACGGTACTTACAATATGACATGTTTGAAAGCATGGCGGTAAAAACAATGAATGTGCGCTGTAATATCACCTGTGAACGCCATAGATGATACACCTTGAGAACCCCCAACATCAACCCCAAAGGCAAGGACCTGATTTGTTCTCTGTATGCCCGCCCACCTACACCAAACAGTGAAAGTTTGATGTTTACCGTACATTTGCTGGTACTACCAACTCTGCACATGGAACAATCGCATTGTAAATATTGTCAACTCGTCAGTACAATATTTTGAATTTGTACAGAAAATATTCTCTGGCTCATGCAGTCTCCCACATTGGCTCCCCTGAATCCTACCAAGAACACCACCTTCGTTCGGCCCTTGGCATTCCCACTTCTAACTTGTCCAAAGGCCAGTACCTCATTGAATTCACCCAACAAGCATAATCCCTCCCCCTCACCCTCCCCCCCCCCCCCCCCCCCCTCCCCGCCGCCATACCCCCTCCCTCGGTCAACAAAACACACCAGTTCCGCAGCCACTCCAGCTCCCCCCTCCCCCTTCCCCCCTTGGATCTCCACCCATCCACCCTCAAGCCCTCTTCTGCTGCGCGTGCTGCCGCATCACCCCTGCAGCCACCGCCGCAGCCGCAGCCTCAATCCTTGCGCGCTCGCTCTTAGCTAAGTGCGGCCCGCAGTGCGCGCGGAACTTATCCGGGTGCCACACCAGCAGAGCCCGCCTCATCTTCCTTTCCGCCTCTGCCCGCCCGTCTCCAGGCTCCAGAAACAAAGGGTTCCCCGGAGGAGGCCAGGGGATGTCAGAGAAAGCAAGGGTGAGGGGGGCGGTGGGGGGAGGGGCGGCGGGAGTGGAAGCAGGGAGGGGAGAAGATGGAGCGTGGTGGGGGGAGGAGGGTGAGGGAGTCCGGGGCGACTGTTGCTGCTGCTGCTGCTGCTGCTGCTGGGTGTGGATTCTGAGGGAAGACAGGAGGGCGTTCCAGCAGCGATCATACGTGCGGTAGGAGGAAGGCCGCTCACACACACTCGTGCTGTCACTGCTGCTTTTACTGTAACCGTTACTGTAACCGTAACTGGTACTGCTGCCACTGTAACTGTTACTGCCATTACCATAGCTCCCACCTGTGTAACCATACGCTTGCTCATAATAACCGCTCCCGTCTCTGTAAGCAGACCCAGACCCAGACCCAGACCCATGCTCGTGCCCATACTCATACCCGTACCCATGCCCGAACCTCCTCCCTGTCCTCCTCTCTTCCGCCTCATCCTGGGCCCGTCGCATGCGAATCCTCTCTCTCAGCCATTCCTGGTACTCCCTCTCCTCCTCCTCATTCCCCTCGTCATAATCCGCATTCTCGTCCAAGCCACCACTATCACCGCCTCCCCCATAGGAAGACTCACTGAAATAGGCATTACGGGGATTGTAGCCACTGCGACTACTGAACCGTTCCGCACCCCTCCGTTCTCCGTTCCCTCTTCTGTTGCCTCCCCCTCCACCTCCTTCCCCTTTCATCGCCTCCTCCCACGCCCTCCTCAACCCTTCCGCCCTCCTCCTCTCCCTCTCCCTCTCCAACTCCCTCACTCGCTCCCTCACTCTCTCTCTCGCTCTCTCCAACGCCTCCTCCCTCATCCTCATCCTCTCCACCCTCTCCCGATGCCTCCTCCACCGCTGCCACTTGTCAGCTTCCCATTGGCCCGTTCGCGGCCCTCTTCCCCTCATCCCCCTCCCCCATTTCTGTCGCAATCTCTCCACCTCATCCTCCTCCTCCTCACCCCCTTCCCCCTGCACCTCCAAGACACAGTGAAACGGGAAAGGCACGCATGATAGGGGTGGGTAGGGAGGGGGGATGCGGGAAGGACAGTATACTACTCTTACTAAACTCAAATGAGTCTGTGTAAGTGGAAAATGGAGGTTGTGGGTGACACAGAGAATCTTCCCTCCTACCTCTCAGCTGGGAATACAGGGAGGACTGGCAGTGGGGATGCAAAGGGGAGTGAGAGAGACTGGTGACCTAAGCACGAGGCTGCTTCAAAGGGAGGCAGGCAGAAACCAAGGGAGAAAAAGAAGGTGCTTCAAAGGCAGAAGAAGCATGTGACGCGGCGGCAGGGGTTTACGGTCCCTCCGAGCACCAAACTCCATACGAGCAGGGGTGTCCGGTCCAGGCCATCGGGGCTTCAGGTGTATGTGGATGGGTGGGCGTGGGCGTGGGCGTGGGCGTGGGCGTGGGCGTGGGCTTACCAGTGGCGCGCCATTGTGTGGCGAAGCTTGCAGCAGGGAGGAGAGGAAGAAGGCAGCGTTTCCCACAAACAGCAGGTTCCGTCCCGTGAACCCAATCATGCTTCCCAGCCACCCCAGGTGCCACTGCCACCCCGCCCCTCCCCCCTCCGCTGCTCCTCCCCCTCTCCCCTGCCCCTGCCTCGCGCCCTGCTTCCCCGCCCGGGCTTTCCTTCTCTGGAGCGCCATGGGTGGTTTTTCCTGGGCTGGGGCCCTGCTGCTGCTAGTAGTGCTGTTTGCGCCTGTGTTGCTGGTGGTGCTGCTGCTGCTACCACTGCTGCTGCTGCTACTGTGATTGCTGCTGACAGCATTCGCACCACTGGAACTACGCCTGGCAGCAAACAAACCATCACTGCTCTCCATCTCGCCTTCTCTCCCCCCCTCCCCTTCCCCTTCCCCTTCCCCTTCCCCTTCCCCTTCCCCTTCCCCTTCCCCTTCCCCTTCTCCCCTGCCTCCTCCCCCGCCTCCCCCCCTCCCCCCTGCACCACCCCAGCCCCCTTGGCCCCACCACCCCTTGCCCCCACCTTGCCCCCATCCGCCACTGACGTCAGCTTCCCCCCCCGCATCTCGCACCTTCCCCCCGTCACCACCAGCCGCACCAGATGTAGCAGCAGCAGCGCCAGCAGCAGCAGCGCCAGCAGCAGCAGCGCCAGCTGACACCACGGCCGCAACACGAGCAACCCCACCAGCAGAAGGAGCACCAGCATTAGCATTAGCAGAGGCAGCAGCACCAGACGAGTTCACTGCTGCAGCACCGCCTGTGCTGACGCGCCTAAAGTCCCCTGCACCGCTCCCAACCCCACCACTCGCGGGATTTGCAGCAGCAGCAGCGGCGGAGGCGGCGGCGGCGGCGGCGGCGGTGGCACCCCAACCCCATGCCACTATGACCCTCACCGCTCGCTTCTCCCCCCGTCCACCCGCCTCGCTTCCGCGCCCCCCATGCCGCGCAGCCCCCGGGAGCCTCCGCTTCGCGGGAATCACGCGCTGGTCCACCTGCGGCAGGTGCGCGGAGAGCATGGCTGAAGGCGGAGCGGCGCATCCGCAGGCAGCGCGCAAGGGGCAAGCCATTGGGGGAGAGGGAGAGCGGAGCGCAGAAAGTGGGAGGCGGAACGAGGAACGAGAAGGGAAAGCGGAGGTCCGATGCGGGGGAGGGGAAGAATGGAAGCGTTCAGGAGAGAGAGCGAGGAGAAGCGGAGAGAAGGCGGGGAGAAGGCGGGGAGAAGGCGGGGAGAAGGCGGGGAGAGAGCTGGAAGAGAAGAGAGAGAAACCGTCGCGGGATGCGCGAGTGGCGCTGAAGCGCGGGAAGAGAGATGAGCAGCGAGCGAACCGAGGGAAGACGTGAGGTTCGGACTAGTCACCGTGAAATGTGGCTCCGACTGAAAACACAGCGTACGACAGAAAGCCTGGCTTTATATTCTGCTCCTTGGTCTGCAGCTTACGAGAACTCAACTAAGCCTGTCTGCAACACGAGAGGAATCTGCTTTTTCCCTGCAGTGGAGCATGGAGCGAGATTGGCGGACGAGGAGGGATGGAAGGTACCAGCGTATGGCGGGAAATGCGAGGAAATAAGGTTTGGCGAGATGTTACTTATGTCGAGCGACGAGAGATTCGCCAGCTTCGTTGCGAGAACGAGCGACAAGGAGAATTCGCTTGGCGAATGTGCAAGCCATGAGGAATGATAAGCCAAGCTAGATGTGAGACCGAGGCCGAAGGTACAGACAAGGCCGCCTGGGCCCCAAACGGCGCGAGATGTGGCGTGATTAGGGCGTGTTACATTGTATTTTTGTGTCGTCCGGATGGCCAACCGTCCGGACAGATGTATGGTTACGAAAATCGTTAAATCTCGGCAGTGAGTTCGTCAGGGTCTAAACGACGTCGAATGCTTCGTATTGCTTCCTTACGACATCGCATTGGTCGCAACGCGACCGTGCGACGTCGCAATCTTCGTACGCGTCCGGACAACCGTCCGGACTGTCAGCGACTTCGAAAAATCAAGCATGCCCTTATTCGAGCAAGTAGGCTGTTGTGGAAGGGAGTGAAAGCAGCTGGTAGCTGGTGGATGTGCCTGCCACGTCACGAAAATTTCGTTATACGCATAGTCTGTTTCCCCGTACCGACTGAATGTTACTGCATGGGGCTACTCTATATGCATTGATATTTGGGAACCACTATAATTGCCTGTCCTACGAATGTGCATCTCAATTTTTTTTTTTTTTTTTTTTTTTCGCAGCCTCAAGAACACCCCAGTAGAACAGCACATAAGGAACCCCAAAAGACAACCCAACGAGATACCCCCAACGAGACACCCCAACGAGACACCCCAACGAGACACCCCAACAATACGCCCCATCTAACCAAACCCCCCAACCCCCCTCACCTAAACCCACCCTCTAAACCCGCATGTCCACCAAATAGGGCGCATCCGCCCACGGAGCATCCCATCCCATCTCCTCCTCAAAATCCTCCCGCTCCACCGAAACAGCCTCTGGGCCTCTCATCATCGACGCCGCGCGCAACAAGATCACACGCGCCTGAGCCCGCTGCAAAGCCACACCTATGGCCGCTTTAAGTGATCCAAGCAAGTAAGCCGAGAAACCTTTCCCCGTAGCTCTCGCCGCCCCTTTCGTCTTCGCTACCTCAATCTGCGCGTCGCCCTGTTTCTTAAGCCACCGCCCAAAACTCCCCCCCAGGCAACCCCATGTCTCAGCAATGAGAGGTGTAAACTGCACTCCCCTATGTCGCTGCAGAAGCAATTTGTAGTCCGCCGCCTTCCGCTTTTCCCTCTCTCTAGCGGCAAAACCCACCTTGCGACCAATCTGTCCATGGTGCTGCGCGGACAACGAGATAGGGTCCACCACACTAACCTCCAGCGCATGCTCCTCCCCCTCCCTCAGTCTCCGCACCGCCACATCCACCCTCTTCCCTGGCAGCAACGTGTCGTCTTCCATGGTCACGACCCCACCCGCCCCTTTAGCTATCTTCGCCACCACAAACTTAACCGCGTCGTGAACACGAGAAGGTGCGTACTGGTACTTGCAGCGAAGGGCATGATGCGGGTCAGAGGGATCAGCAAACTCAAACCCACACGCGCACTTGCCGGCGACTATCAGCTGCTGTATGGGGAGGCCTAGGCGCATGGACGCGCAGATGCTCCACTCGGCTGCGGTGAAGGTAGCCTCTTCGTGCGAAGGGACGGCGGAGACCCACGCCCCTGCCCCCGGGCCCTGAAGGGATGTCAAACGGGCCATGGTGGCGTCGTCGTGGGCCATACCCCGAAGAGTCTGCAGACTCTCAACCGCTAGGCGACGGTGTTGTGTGGGGAAAAGCAGCACAGGGGGGTCAGCGGTGCATAAGGCTAGGGGTGGCATCTCCTGCCTGACCGACTGTGGCAGCAGCTCCACTGCTCTCGCAAACCAAGGATCCAGCAAGGTCGTAGCCTCGGGCGTGCGGAAAAACTCCTCAAACATCCGTTCCTCCCCTGCCACCCCCATCCGAGCCACATCGCTCACTGCCTGGCACCAACCACATGCGTACGACAGAGGGCTAAGGTCAGCTGCAGATCGAATGCCAAACCCTCCAAGTCTGGCTGGAAGGTGCAGCTGTAGACGGGCCATCTGCGACCTTGCCGAATCATGATCCCAGGTGCTATCTGGAAACAGCTGCTCAAAACAATCCTCAAGCTTCGTGTCCCAGTCGCGGAAAGCCTCCACAACCTCAGGCCGTGGAGGCATCGTCCTTGTGAGGTAAATCGGGCGCGCTGACACTGCGATCGCCAGCAGATGGGACGCAATCTGTGGGTGGTCGAGCAAAGGAAGCCAAGGGACAGGTGCATGCAGCTGCATCAGCCGGCCTCGCAAGCTGGCCACCTCCCACTCCTCCTCCCCAATAGGAACCCCCACTACGGTGAGCCCCGTCCATGTTTGCTGCATGCCGGGCGGGACGGTCTCGTTCCTCTCCTCTCCCTCCTGGTCCACCCCTCGCTCCCAAAGCTTGCACTTATGCGGCTGCACCTCCAGACCAAGCCCGCCCAGTCGTTCCCGCAAGACCTCATAAGCTGCTAGCACCCGCTCCCTAGGCCCCAAGATGTACGTATCATCGGCGTAGCTGAGAAAGAGTAGGTCGGCGAATTCTTGTTTGGTGGGCTCCATAACCAGCTGCTGTGTGAACGCGAACAGAAACGGCCCCAATGGGTCCCCTTGCCTCGATCCTCGCTCTGAAGCCAAAGCTTCGACGAAGGGGCCCGCACGGAGGTAGAGGTCGCTAGGAGTGCCGTAGAAGACACGCAGGAATGGGATCAAACCCGCAAAAGGCGACTGTCGAAGTCCTTCAAACATTTCCCGCCGATGGAAGGAGTTGAAAGCATTCGCCACATCAATTTGAAGCGCGCACCATGACGGGTGAGTAGAGATGGCAGAACGAAAGGCATGTGCGAGGACTTCCACTCCCGACCTGGATCCGACTCCTAGCTGGTTACACGGCGCAAAGTGCGACATCATCTTCGGCCGAAGCACGATGCATAGGGCCCGAGATAGTATGCGGGGGAGCACCTCGCCTATAGCCACCGGGCGAACGTCACCATTTGGCTTCGACAGGCCCACAAGGTTGGACGCAGTGAGCCAGGGTCGCACGCGCTCCGCTACCTCTCCCTTGGTCCACTGGGTGAAGACTCCTAGCAGGTGAGGCAGGTATGCGGGCTCAGAGAGAAAAGTGTCGCGCAGGTGCTCCGTCACCCACCCCGACGGTCCTGGTGCCGACGCCCTAGCCGCAGAGTGGATCGCCTGACCAAGTACCTCCACTGAGAGCTGCGGGATAAGGGAAGGCTCAACTATCTCCTCCTGCAACCACTCCGGAAAGGCGGTCTCGCTCGATGGGTGTTTCGCTCGCAGCGCGTCCACCATGTGCTGAGAGGGCTGAGCGATGCTACCGGCAGTAAGACACGTCAAACCCCGACTCCATTCTCCCACTTTGCACCTTGTGCGGCAGCGAGCCAGGCGCACCGCATCAGGATCATGCTCGGGGGGGGTGAAGGACAAAGGACGCGCCGCAGGTTGCATTACCGCCACCGCCAACTCAAACAGCTCCCGCCACTCCCCGACCCAAAACTTCTCCAACCGCTCCCTGATTGCCGCCCTATGCCCCTGGCCTTGCCCAGTTGGCATCCCCAAGATAAGACGAGGGAAGGCCAAAAAGACCAAGGACGTCGCCTCGTCTGCTGCCTTTAACTGTAGCCGCTTCAGGACACAAGACAGTGCATCAAGCACCCCCAATCTAGCGCGCTGTGGGATACGACGCATGATTCTCCCTGGCACCAATTCGATCCCAAAAAACGAATCCCAGTCCCATGTAGGAACTGCGGCCCATACCTCTTCACTGATATCACGTGGTGGCGGGGGTTCGCCGTCCGAGTCATCTGTGACGTCGCGGGTCAACCCAAGCGCCTGAGCACGACGCTGGGCGTCCGCTGCCCTGCAGGCCGACATATGGCGTGTGGCCTTTCCTCTCTCCGTGAACGTGCGATAACAGGTTTCGCACGGAATGCGGGGCGGGGGTGTCAATGTAGGGTCTGGGTGCTCCTCTCCACTCGAACACGCCGGCAAGACCCTCCTGCTAGACTCCGTCTCCATGCCCCCCTCTAACGGCCTTGCAAGCTCCATCCCTCCGCACTGCAGCTGCTGCTGCCCTCCGCTCTGCAACTGCTGCTGCCCTTCGCTCTGCAATTGCCGTTGCCCTCCGCTCTGCAGCTCCTGCTGCCCTCCGCTCTGCAGCTGCTGCTGCCCTCCGCTCTGCAGCTGCTGCTGCCCTCCGCTCTGCAGCTGCTGCTGCCCTCCGCTCTGCAGCTGCTGCTGCCCTCCGCTCTGCAGCTGCTGCTGCCCTCCGCTCTGCAGCTCCCGCTGCCCTCCGCTCGGCAGCTGCTGCTGCCCTCCGCTCTGCAGCTGCTGCTGCCCTCCGCTCTGCAGCTGCTGCTGCCCTCCGCTCTGCAGCTCCTGCTGCCCTCCGCTCTGCAGCTGCTGCTGCCCTCCGCTCTGCAGCTGCTGCTGCCCTCCGCTCGGCAGCTGGTGCCCTCCGCTCTGCAGCTGCTGCTGCCCTCCGCTCGGCAGCTGCTGCTGCCCTCCGCTCTGCAGCTGCAGCTGCCCTCCGCTCGGCAACTGCTGCTGCCCTCCGCTCTGCAGCTGCTGCTGCTCTCCGCTCGGCAGCTGCTGCTGCCCTCCGCTCTGCAGCTGCTGCAGTTTGGTTGCCCGTCGCCTCCGGCCCCGGCCCCGCGCTCGGGGCCTTTCCGCTTGGTCCGGGGAATCAGGGTTGGCATTCTCCCCCTCCATGGGGCTTGATTCCAGCTCATCGGTGCAAGCCTCGTCCGCCATCTCCACATCCAACACCCAAACCGGCTCTTGCTGCCCTCCGCTCTGCAGCTGCTGCTGCCCTCCGCTCTGTAGCTCCCGCTGCCCTCCGCTCGGCAGCTGCTGCTGCCCTCCGCTCTGCAGCTGCTGTTGCCCTCCGCTCTGCAGCTGCTGCTGCCCTCCGCTCTGCAGCTCCTGCTGCCCTTCGCTCTGCAGCTCCTGCTGCCCTCCGCTCTGCAGCTGCCGCTGCCCTCCACTCGGCAGCTGCCGCTGCCCTCCGCTCGGCAGCTCCTGCTGCCCTCCGCTCTGCAGCTGCTGCTGCCCTCCGCTCGGCAGCTGCTGTTGCCCTCCGCTCTGCAGCTCCTGCTGCTCTCCGCTCTGCAGCTCCTGCTGCCCTCCGCTCTGCAGCTCCTGCTGCCCTCCGCTCTGCAGCTCCTGCTGCCCTCCGCTCTGCAGCTCCTGCTGCCCTCCGCTCTGCAGCTGCTGCTGCCCTCCGCTCGGCAGCTGCTGCTGCCCTCCGCTCGGCAGCTGCTGCTGCCCTCCGCTCTGCAGCTGCTGCTGCCCTCCGCTCGGCAGCTGCTGCTGCCCTCCGCTCTGCAGCTGCTGCTGCCCTCCGCTCGGCAGCTTCTGCTGCCCTCCGCTCTGCAGCTGCTGCTGCCCTCCGCTCGGCAGCTGCTGCTGCCCTCCGCTCTGCAGCTGCTGCTGCCCTCCGCTCGGCAGCTGCTGCTGCCCTCCGCTCTGCAGCTGCTGCAGTTTGGTTGCCCGTCGCCTCCGGCCCCGGCCCCGCGCTCGGGGCCTTTCCGCTTGGTCCGGGGAATCAGGGTTGGCATCCTCCCCCTCCATTGGGCTTGATTCCAGCTCATCGGTGCAAGCCTCGTTCGCCATCTCCACATCCAACACCCAAACCGGCTCTTGCTGCCCTCCGCTCCGCAGCTGCTGCTGCCCTCCGCTCTGCAGCTCCCGCTGCCCTCCGCTCGGCAGCTGCTGCTGCCCTCCGCTCTGCAGCTGCTGCTGCCCTCCGCTCTGCAGCTGCTGCTGCCCTCCGCTCTGCAGCTCCTGCTGCCCTCCGCTCTGCAGCTCCTGCTGCCCTTCGCTCTGCAGCTCCTGCTGCCCTCCGCTCTGCAGCTGCCGCTGCCCTCCACTCGGCAGCTGCCGCTGCCCTCCGCTCGGCAGCTGCTGCTGCCCTCCGCTCTGCAGCTGCTGCTGCCCTCCGCTCGGCAGCTTCTGCTGCCCTCCGCTCTGCAGCACCTGCTGCCCTCCGCTCTGCAGCTCCTGCTGCCCTCCGCTCTGCAGCTCCTGCTGCCCTCCGCTCTGCAGCTCCTGCTGCCCTCCGCTCTGCAGCTGCTGCTGCCCTCCGCTCGGCAGCTGCTGCTGCCCTCCGCTCGGCAGCTGCTGCTGCCCTCCGCTCTGCAGCTGCTGCTGCCCTCCGCTCGGCAGCTGCTGCTGCCCTCCGCTCTGCAGCTGCTGCTGCCCTCCGCTCGGCAGCTGCTGCTGCCCTCCGCTCTGCAGCTGCTGCTGCCCTCCGCTCGGCAGCTGCTGCTGCCCTCCGCTCTGCAGCTGCTGCTGCCCTCCGCTCGGCAGCTGCTGCTGCCCTCCGCTCTGCAGCTGCTGCAGTTTGGTTGCCCGTCGCCTCCGGCCCCGGCCCCGCGCTCGGGGCCTTTCCGCTTGGTCCGGGGAATCAGGGTTGGCATTCTCCCCCTCCATGGGGCTTGATTCCAGCTCATCGGTGCAAGCCTCGTCCGCCATCTCCACATCCAGCACCCAAACCGGCTCTTGCTGCCCTCCGCTCTGCAGCTGCTGCTGCCCTCCGCTCTGCAGCTCCCGCTGCCCTCCGCTCGGCAGCTGCTTCTGCCCTCCGCTCTGCAGCTGCTGCTGCCCTCCGCTCTGCAGCTGCTGCTGCCCTCCGCTCTGCAGCTCCTGCTGCCCTTCGCTCTGCAGCTCCTGCTGCCCTCCGCTCTGCAGCTGCCGCTGCCCTCCACTCGGCAGCTGCCGCTGCCCTCCGCTCGGCAGCTCCTGCTGCCCTCCGCTCTGCAGCTGCTGCTGCCCTCCGCTCGGCAGCTGCTGTTGCCCTCCGCTCTGCAGCTCCTGCTGCCCTCCGCTCTGCAGCTCCTGCTGCCCTCCGCTCTGCAGCTCCTGCTGCCCTCCGCTCTGCAGCTCCTGCTGCCCTCCGCTCTGCAGCTGCTGCTGCCCTCCGCTCTGCAGCTGCTGCTGCCCTCCGCTCGGCAGCTGCTGCTTCCCTCCGCTCGGCAGCTGCTGCTGCCCTCCGGTCTGCAGCTGCTGCTGCCCTCCGCTCGGCAGCTGCTGCTGCCCTCCGCTCTGCAGCTGCTGCTGCCCTCCGCTCGGCAGCTGCTGCTGCCCTCCGCTCTGCAGCTGCTGCTGCCCTCCGCTCGGCAGCTGCTGCTGCCCTCCGCTCTGCAGCTGCTGCTGCCCTCCGCTCGGCAGCTGCTGCTGCCCTCCGCTCTGCAGCTGCTGCTGCCCTCCGCTCGGCAGCTGCTGCTGCCCTCCGCTCTGCAGCTGCTGCTGCCCTCCGCTCGGCAGCTGCTGCTGCCCTCCGCTCTGCAGCTGCTGCTGCCCTCCGCTCGGCAGCTGCTGCTGCCCTCCGCTCTGCAGCTGCTGCTGCCCTCCGCTCGGCAGCTGCTGCTGCCCTCCGCTCTGCAGCTGCTGCAGTTTGGTTGCCCGTCGCCTCCGGCCCCGGCCCCGCGCTCGGGGCCTTTCCGCTTGGTCCGGGGAATCAGGGTTGGCATTCTCCCCCTCCATGGGGCTTGATTCCAGCTCATCGGTGCAAGCCTCGTCCGCCATCTCCACATCCAACACCCAAACCGGCTCCTGCTGCCCTCCGCTCTGCAGCTCCTGCTGCCCTCCGCTCTGCAGCTCCTGCTGCCCTCCGCCCTGCAGCTGCTGCTGCCCTCCGCTCTGCAGCTGCTGCTGCCCTCCGCTCTGTAGCTCCTGCTGCCCTCCGCTCTGCAGCTCCTGCTGCCCTCCGCTCTGCAGCTGCTGCTGCCCTCCGCTCTGCAGCTGCCTCTGCCCTCCGCTCTGCAGCTCCTGCTGCCCTCCGCTCAGCAGCTCCTGCTGCCCTCCGCTCTGCAGCTGCTGCTGCCCTCCGCTTTGCAGCTCCTGCTGCCCTTTGCTCTGCAGCTCCTGCTGCCCTCCGCTCTGCAGCTGCTGCTGCCCTCCGCTCTGCAGCTCCTGCTGCCCTCCGCTCTGCAGCTCCTGCTGCCCTCCGCTCTGCAGCTGCTGCTGCCCTCCGCTCTGCAGCTGCTGCTGCCCTCCGCTCTGCAGCTGCTGCTGCCCTCCGCTCTGCAGCTCCTGCTGCCCTCCGCTCTGCAGCTGCTGCTGCCCCCCGCTCTGCAGCTCCTGCTGCCCTCCGCTCTGCAGCTCCTGCTGCCCCGTCCCCACCGGCAGCTGCCGGCTCCTCTCCCGGGCCCCCTGCTGCCCGCCCACCTGCGGGTCACGCTGACCCCCCACTAGTGGCTCCTGCTGCCTGTCTTTCCCCGCCGCACTCCGGCGCCTCCGCTCCTGCCGCCATGCGAGACGTGGCACGACCGGGGGAATTGCGGCGTCGGCCGAGCCGGCGCCGTGCAACATTGCCCTCACAGGTAGGCAGCGTCTGCGAGTGTCATGCTGTTGTTGCAAGCGCCTACGGTGTTCCTCCCAGGCTGCCCTCGCTACCTCCGATGCCACCCGTGGTACAACCGCCGCCTCGTCGACTGGACCCTTTTCGGTTGTTGCTCCCCCCCTTTCTCCGATGATGGCCGAAGGTACAGGGTAATCGCCGTCAGACCCGGTGTTGGGAGGGTCTTCGAGAGGTTGGCCGCATGTCAGTACTGAAATCGAACGGCCTGCTTCACAACACTGTCTCTTGGCTGGTTTGCCAAAGAGGCACAGAAGGTCTTCGTGGTGGAGGCGACGAATGCGTGGGCTCTGGAGCGCACTCTCAGCCCCCCCCCGTCTTTTGTGACCGGTCAATAGGTGGAGCGACCCACCAGCTGCTACTGTGCTTACCCCCCCTTCACCCCCGAAGGCTCCCGTCACGTCGCTGTCAAGGCCGCCCCCCACCCGGCCCCCGGGATCCCCGGGGTCCGGGTTGTCCGCCATGGCTCAAGGATCTGGCTAAGGCTTGTTCGCTTACTCTCTGCTACTGCTCTTACTCTACGGGGCTGCTATGGCGCGGGTTTCGCTGTAAAGGTGCTGTCTTCGCTGCTACGGCACAGATCACACTCTTATGGCGCGGGTTTCACTGCGATGGCCCAGGCGCGGCTGCTATGGCGCGGATTCCGTTGCTGAGGGGCGGATTTCGGTGCTAAGACACGGCTTTTGCTGCTATGGCGCAAACCACGTTGTTATGGCGCGGATCTCGCGGCTATAGCTCGGATTTCACTGCTATGGCGCGGATCTCGCTGCTATGGCTCGGATCTCGCTGCTATGGCTCGGATCTCACTGCTGTGGCACGGACTTCGCTGCCGTGACGCAGATTTCGCTGATGTGGCGTGGACTTCGCTGCTGTGGCGCGTTTTTCGCTGCTGTGACGCGATTCTGCTGCCAGTACGTGAAACGAGCCTGCTATGGCGCCAGTTCTGCTGCCTAACGGCGCTGCGGGCGGCCTAATCGCTGGCTCTGCGGCTAGATCACGGGCTGGTCGGCTAGATCGCTGCCAAGCGGCTAAATCGCGAACCTGGCGGCTAAATCGCGGGCTCCGCGGCGAGATCGCGGACTAGGCGGCTAGATCACGGGCTCGGCTGCGAGGTACCGGGCTACGCGGCTGGATCACGGGCCTAGGAGCTCGTTCGCGGGCTGGGCGGCGAGATTGCGGGCTGGGTCGCGGGCTACGTGGCGCGATCGCGCTGCTACTAGCGAGGTAAATGCTGCTGCCTACCAGGAATCGCGCTGCTGCTGCCTAGCGGGAATCGCGCTGCTCGTGCCTAGCGGGATTGATCATTTTAAAACCAGGGTGCACATTCAATTGGATTTCTGTCAAAGGTTAACCTTTGACCTCGGGGTTACTCAGTGATTTAGGAATATCTGGGGGGAGTGTTCGCTTCAGCAGGTGAACATTTGAACCCTCGAGATTTGGCAAATGTAAACCGAAGTCATCGAATGTGCTTCCGCCAATTCGTTTCGCCCCTCCCCATACCTATTCCGCTCCCACCGAAATTGTTTCCCCTTCCCCCACAATATCGTCTCACCCCCTTTCCCCTTTCCGCCAACCCAGTTGCCCTCCCCTTGATCCCCAATTTCTAGATCCAAGTGTTATCAATTTCTCCCCTGCCAAGCCTCATCTCTCACGGACGAAAAGCCCCATGCTCGCCCATTCTCAACTATTTATTCGCTACTCGTCAACCAATCAGCAGTTCCCGCAAACATGCCGCCCAAAATTTAGCCTGGAGTCGCGTTGAATGTGTACCCTGGTTTTAAGTGGTCGTGCTGGGTGGATTCTGGGTGGACGCATCTCAATTTGTGGTGCACATCAAAGAAGATTAAATCGAAATATTCATTAACCACTGCATTGTTTTCCTAATCGTTTTCCTTATCCAATGCTAAATAGATTTTAAAAGTGGAACAATCAGAGAAGCTCACATACAGAATCAGAACAATTTATTTTACAGAGCAAAGGGTTTATTGGGTGATGTCCACGTCACTCCCAGGCTGTCAGCCTGCAGATTATTGACCTGGATTTTTTCAGTGGGACTTGATTGGTGCAATCGAGAGGTTTGGCACGAAAAACTCAGGGCGGGAATGGTTGTCCTGAGGCCGTGTCGCATTTCTTTCGAACATCGAACCGCATTTCCTGAAATGGCTCGAAACAGTTTGCCCCCAAAATGACTGTTCTCAAGTTGCCCAGACGTTGGAGCAGATTTTCTTGCGTTTACATGTCCGTTGCCCGTTTGAGCTGAATTAACCAGAGATTAACCTTATTCACACAAACTCATCATCGCTTAACACGTGGTCTCTGAAGCAATCGGGCAAACAGGGAGGTCAACGTTAAAATTTTGATTACACATGAGCTTCATCCTGCGATCTGTTTCGTGCTTCACGCTGCCAGCCGTAATGGCATCGTGCAAATCTGGCGCTGTGAAGTGAAGACCACACAGAAAACAAAACCAGCACCCATTTGCGCCAATTTCACTCGTTCTTGGCTGCGAAGGATTTGACTGCGAGAGCTGATCTGGCTATTTCATCTGAATGCTCTCACAGCGACGACGGACCCTCCCGTTCGACCTAACCTGGGACGGAACTGCGAACGTGCACACTGAAGTTTACGACTGCAAACGTCACACGAAGGTTTGGACTGAGCATCACAGGAACGTCACGTGAGCGTCACAGAAAGCGTCGCATGATGTCGATCCTCCACGTTCGTGTTTTTCAGCGCGATCGTCAGGAATGGAGCTTCGTCCGCAGGCACGTCTCGTCGCGCCAATCCATGGCTGCCCAACAAAGCATCGCTTCTCGCAACCGCCACTATATAATAAATATTAGTCCAAACTTCTCAACATCGACCGCCTTCCACGCGACGTTACTTGCGCTGGTGCTCGCTGCATCCGTTGCGACCTGCAGAGGCCAACCCGCGCTCCCACAACCGACTAGCCGTAAGTATTTTCAGAATAAGCGCTCTTGATAAGGGCGCTATGCAATTACCCGTGCACTCAGTTGACCGAGAAGCTTGTAACACTTGACACGCGTGCGCACCTTCCTCTCGTGCTCACCTCATTGCCAATGGTATTGTGCGGGTTGGCGCGCAACGCCTTGAAACGGTTAGCGAGCAAATTTCGCACTGCCTTTCCTTCTTTTGATTCTCGTACTGCTTCTCGTAATGCATCTCATCCCGCTCCCTCCCTCTTTCCTTCGCCATTTGCTCTCGTTCCACTCTCCGCTCCGGCCATTGACTTCAGCCAAATGTGACTATAGCGATGGCGAGTGGTCTTACTCCAAGACGAACCCTCGATACAAGGGATGTCCATACATTCGCGAGATCTTTGACTGTAGAGACAACGGGCGGGGCGACCGGCAGTGGGAGAAGCAGAAGTGGTCGCCCCGTTATTGCGCAATCAAGTACTTTAACGCGGACAGATTCCAAAAGCTCTTGGCTAACAAGGTTCGCAAGGGGATGGTGGAGATGGTTTGAGAGCGGTGAAAGAGCAGGGCTGTTGAGGGTTGCGGCACTGCGGGAAATGTGAAACTTTGGGGGAAGGGAGAGGAAGTTTAGATGCTTATATTTAGTTGTAAGAGTTCTCGAAAGTGACTTCGATACAGCTGGGGGATTGTGGATCAAGGGAGAGGAAGGTAAAGACAGCGAGAGTGAGAGGAGGCTTTGAGGAGGTGTATGATAACACTGAAGCGTAAACTAAGGGTTGGAGGGTTTAGCCAGGAAATGGTTTTAATAATCAGCTTTGCCTCCCCCCTTGTTTCTTACGTTTTTGGGTGCTGTGTGTGTGCTCGGCAGACGATTGCGTTTATAGGTGACTCGCTAATGACCAACATGTGGGAGAGCTTCACGTGCACGCTATGGGGATACCACATCAAGATGCTGGTAAGTGATTTTGGAACCCCACATGAGCGATAAAGTGCCTTCAATGTAGCGACCAACTCCAACACCTCTCGATCCCTTTAAACTCCCCGTCTCGTTCTAGCGACCCTTAGCTCTTTCACCGCTAGTATCTTCAAAGCTCAGGTCCGAAATCCCACTTTCCGCTCCCCCCTGCGCCCTTCCCTCCTCCGTTGATCCTCCGCAGCCCGTGCAAAAGCGACTGGGTCCCGAGGCGAAATTCACAGGCTTCCACCTACCCCAATCCAACACAACCGTACTGTACCGCTTCTCATCCTACCTCACCAAGGCGTCGAGAAGCGAAGGCCGAGACCCCCTGCACGGGGGCAGACACGGCTACAATGTTGACGTCGATGTAGTGGACCCCGTTTTAAGCGCCGCTGTGTCTAAAGTGGATGCGGTGGTGCTGACGAGCGGGATGTGGTGGCAGGCGAACGTTCCTGGAAGGAAGGCTACGAACATTTACAAGATGCAGGGTGTGGATGTACTGTACTCCGACTTAAACGCGTACAAAAAGTCACTGTACACCGTGCGAGAGCTGCTGCTGAAACACAAGTAAGTACAGGGTTCACCTGGTAAAGTTTGGTCCATATAGTGTGATTTCAAATCAGCCTTGCTCATACTGTCAGTTGAGTCCTTCTGAGTATGTAGTGTTGATTCGGATCAGTTGTACTTCCCCCATACATCCACTCACCCTTTTCAACCAATCCATCCAGTTCAATTTTGTCCATTCTCATCCCTTTCTCCCACCCTTGACTCCCCTTTTCCCCCCAACACACACACCCCTCCCCACACACACCCCTCCCCTCTCCGCCTCTTCCCCCCACCCGTGCAACCCCACACAGGTCAAGACTGCTATCCTACTATATCTCCTTCTCCCCCCAGCACAAGTTTGAGCCCCGTTTCGCCTCCATGCCTGGCACATGCGGTTACAGCCTCCCCCTCAACCAATCAGCAGCAAAGGCCTTTCTCAACAACCAGGCAGCCAGCGCGGTCACTTACGAAGCAGCTCAGCGCCAAGTGTTCTCCTCCCCTACTCCTGTCAGGCTTTTAGATATTACCGAAATTTCTGCAGCCAGGCCGGATGGGCATGTGGGGCAGTATGGGGCGAAGGGGGGCCTGCCTGCAGGGCAAGTTGCAGAGAGAGGGGATTGCAGGCACTGGTGCTTGCCGGGGGTTCCCGATGCCTGGGTGGATTTGCTTTACACGGCTTGGGAGAATGAGCCTGCACTTGTGGTCCCGGCTAAAAAGAGGTGACTGAGGAGGGGTATCTGAGGGGGTTTTCAGTAATTACGTGACGTGCCTTTTATACCCTACTAGACTGTAAGGGTTTTCTGCGTTGCGATGCCCTAACCTAGTATACATTTAGCTATAACTCTTACTATGGTAGGTTTATCTTTTATATATTATGGTTGATTCTGTATGTAGCACAGAACTCCATTATTGTACTAGGTTTTCGTGGAAGAGCTTAACAATTGTATTATGAAAGGATGTGACAAGTGCCTTGAAGAGTGGAGCAACAAAACAGAACAGAGAAAATCATTTGAACAGTGGTATGTAAAAACGTTGAAGGAATGCGTGTAGAAAGCCTGTGACCGACATGTGAACGAAATGACGGGGTTGTTGTACACCCCTTGTTATATGCACTTTGGCGCAATTGATATTTTGGCGGGAATTCAACGGCTCCATTGGTTTGACCAGAATCCGTGAACTGGTCACGGCGCGGACACAGAACAGAACCTACTCCACCTTGCCTCTTCAGCAGGTCTGGCCGGACAACCAAGACCAAGAAGACTCGCGACCTGGCTCGGCATGGAAGCCCCGACGCCAAAATGATTTTTCTCATTTCTGACTCGCGGGAGGGCTTTGCCGCGTCGGGTCTGTAGGGTGAATTTGCAAAACTGAGGCAACCCTCGCCGTCAATCTGGCAGATCCGCCAGACCTAAATCCCCTCCCCTCGCAAGAATCAAACCTTCCGTGATTGAAACCCTGGAAGTCGACATTTGATGCTGTACTCTCTATCTCCCTAGCTCTTCCCTGTCTGAAATGCGAACCGACCAGCAGCACTGATTCGCCTCACTCATACATCAGGAGGTCGGTCCGAGACATGGCTGTGATGGCGGCGAAGGATTACCACGGGTAGGTCTCACGATGATGATCTAGCTTCGCCGTACCTAGTGGTTCCTAGCGATGGATGTTTGCGTCCCGCCACATTTTCGGGGCTGAGAAGGCGGTGCTCTAGAAAACAAATGGCTCTTGGTCATCGAGGTGGTACCCGATTTTCGCATGGGCGGCGGTACACTAGTAGGAGCTGCTGTAGAGTCTGTCGCTAGGAAGCGTGCGTCGCTCGTCCAATACTGTATAGCGTAGGGCTTTTCGTAGGCAGGCTTCACTATTTAATATGACCTTTTAGTACTGGCCACTTCAACTGGTGGGAACTACCTTAGCCAGGGTAGATTGGAATAAATAAGGATGCAGAACTGTTTGTGAGTTCCGAACGGTTCCAGCACGGTCCATCCTCGCCTCAGTCACTCTCATTACATACACCACTAAACCATTTCCGAGCCATTTCACTCTAGACTGGGCCACCTGTCGCACTCACGGATGTATGGGTTTCGCTTCGCTCTTTCTGTAGCACTCTCTGCTCTCCTCCTTAACTCCGCATTTACTCCAACTCTCGCATTAGGGAACACGGACGCCTCGCATGGCGACAGAGTCAGCAGGTCGGAGTCCGTTCTTAGAGGTCACCGGCAGGAACGAAGGATGCGGGAGTTGACCGAAGAGGCATCGAGCGATTGCGGAAATATGCGAGTGTGCGTCAATCGCACGGCTCTCGACGACTATGTCGCACGGGAAGATGACAGCTATAAGTACGTCGTTAACCAGAATTTCTATGCCTCTTCCTTTTCAAAACTCGTTCCTGTACTTGGAAAGCTCAAGGCTCGGCCCGAGTTCTACGTGTCTCTTTCGAGCTGAGTGATGATGCGCATCAATGGCACATTATTCCACAGATTTTCTTGCTTCCTCGTTTCACAATCCAGTATTCCGCCGCACCCACCCACTCACCCCGTCCACTTCTGGCCTTCATGGGATCCTCCTCCGTCCCTCCTCTTTCTATTATCCACCCATATCACTGATTGTATCGCTGACCGCATCGTTGACCGCATCGTTGACCGCATCGTTGACCGCATCGTTGACCGCGTCGTTGACCAACAGCTGGTACGACACGGGGTTCCGCATCCAGGGGAGGGTGGACGCGCGGTACGGCGGCGGCGAGTGGACGGGGATCGTGCTGAACATGACGTCGCAGCGATGGCTCAATGCCTCCGTCACCTCCTGCAGCCTCTGGTGGCATTACCTGCTGCTCCTGGTGCGTGGAGAATTCTTAAAAGTAATACCAAGAGAATTCTCAAAAGTAATACCAAGAGAATTCTCAAAAGTAATACCAAGAGAATTCTCAAAAGTAATACCAAGAGAATTCTCAAAAGTAATACCAAGAGAATTCTCAAAAGTAATACCAAGAGAATTCTCAAAAGTAATACCAAGAGAATTCTCAAAAGTAATACCAAGAGAATTCTCAAAAGTAATACCAAGAGAATTCTCAAAAGTAATACCAAGAGAATTCTCAAAAGTAATACCAAGAGAATTCTCAAAAGTAATACCAAGAAAAAATCTCCAAAGTAACACCAACGCCTCCTTCACCTCCTGCAGCATCTGGTGGCACTACCTGCTGCTCCTGGTGCGTGTGTGATCGTTTTTCGTCCTGGTCCTGGTCGGTACCATTTCTGAAGCGCTTACAGCCTCTGGTGGCCCTGCCTGCTGCTCCTGGTTCGCTTGGCTCCTCCATCCTTCCTTTCCACACGCCACAACGACCCTCCAACCTCGTGGAACCGCTTGGTACCGTAATGATTTCCCCATCGAGCCCCTTGTTTCCTCTCCCGCAATGATTTCCCCATCCATCTGTCTCCTCCCCATGCTGTAATTATGCTTTCTCTCACGCCCTATCCTCTCCTCTCCTCCCATCTTCCACGTGTCTTCATTCTCTTCCACCAATCACCGCATCATCTTACCCTCCTCCGCCTCAGGTCCCCAGGCGCATACCCAATGCGCCTCGGGGCACGGCGCTACTCATGCTGGCGGCGGGGCGGAACTCAGGCGGCGGGGGAGGAGGCGCGGGGGACGCGGACGGTCCCGCGGACGCGGATCCGGAGGAAGCGGACGATAGCCGGGTGTGGAGCGCGGGGGGCGGGGGGGGTGCGAGCGCGCGGAGCGCGGGGGAAGCAGGGGACGGGACGGATGGGGGGGCAGGGATGGGAACAGAAGGCGCAGGTCCGAAGATTGTGGATGCTGGGTTGCTTCCACAAGCTGACGACAGCTTTGTTGTCATTGCCGCCGCGTAAGCAGTCTTGTCTCCCCCATAAACAAACCCCCACCTCCCCCCTTCGAGCCGGAATTCTCCTCTCTCGCACTCCTGTTCCTCCTCACCGTTCTAACCCGGCCCATCCTCTCGCGTCCAATCTGCTCTCACCCTCTCTCCCCACCTCCTCTCACAGGCTTGCTGTGCAGGCGGGCACGCTAGGCGCCGTGCTGTTCCAGGTGCCGAACCAGCCGTGCACCGTCCGCACCAACGGCACCACAGAGCCGTCCCTCTCAGAAGACTCGCTCGTTGCAGGTGCGTGCGGCGGAGAGGGGGAGGGGTGGGCTGGCTGGTTGGGGTTCTATTAGTCCACTCCAGAAGCAGCAGTGCAGGCGGGCACGCTAGGCGCCGTGCTGTTCCAGGTGCCGAACCAGCCGTGCACCGTCCGCACCAATGGCACCACAGAGCCGTCCCTCTCAGAAGACTCGCTCGTTGCAGGTGCGTGCGGCGGAGAGGGGGGATGGTTGGGCAGGTTCGTACGCACCAACTGGGGGCCACAAATGTGCCCTGGGAGAGATACACAAGCACGGGTGTGGGACGTAAAGAAGGACAGGCGTGCTGTCCCACGGGGACAGATGGCCCTTTTACCAGTTGACCAGTTCTCCTTCGCAATAGGGGGGTAGATGACATTGACCAGTTCTCCTTCGCAATAGGGGGGTAGATGACATTGACCAGTTCTCCTTCGCAATAGGGGGGTAGATGACATTGACCAGTTCTCCTTCGCAATAGGGGGGTAGATGACGTTGACCAGTTCTCCTTCGCAATAGGGGGGTAGATGACGTTGACCAGTTCTCCTTCGCAATAGGGGGGTAGATGACGTTGACCAGTTCTCCTTCGCAATAGGGGGGTAGATGACGTTGACCAGTTCTCCTTCGCAATAGGGGGGTAGATGACGTTGACCAGTTCTCCTTCGCAATAGGGGGGTAGATGACGTTGACCAGTTCTCCTTCGCAATAGGGGGGTAGATGACGTTGACCAGTTCTCCTTCGCAATAGGGGGGTAGATGACGTTGACCAGTTCTCCTTCGCAATAAGGGGGTAGATGACATTGACCAGTTCTCCTTCGCAATAGGGGGGTAGATGACGTTGACCAGTTCTCCTTCGCAATAGGGGGGTAGATGACATTGACCAGTTCTCCTTCGCAATAGGGGGGTAGATGACGTTGACCAGTTTCTCCTTCGCAATAGGGGGGTAGATGACATTGACCAGTTCTCCTTCGCAATAGGGGGGTAGATGACATTGACCAGTTCTCCTTCGCAATAGGGGGGTAGATGACGTTGACCAGTTTCTCCTTCGCAATAGGGGGGTAGATGACATTGACCAGTTCTCCTTCGCAATAGGGGGTTAGATTACATTGACCAGTTCTCCTCGCTCTGTGACCACCTTGCCCTCGCTCTGTGACCACCTTGCCCTCGCAACCCAACCACTTCTCCCAATCAGCCACGTGGTTTTTGAGGCGCCTCAAAAACGACCTCTCCCTCTTCGACCGTCCACCTCAACCCTCGCTCTTTGACCACCTTGCCCTCGCAACCCAACCACTTCTCCCAATCAGCCACGTGGCGTCAGTTCCTGCTGAACCCCTCGGACGCGGATTGGCCGGCAACACTGCCCATGGCCAAGGCGGGAGTGCGAGCTATGGACGCGATTCAAGAGGCCGTCCCGGTCTTCTTCCCCTCCCTCGCTGTGAGTGCTGTGCTGTCCGCCTGAACGCCGCCCTATGAGTGACCAAGTGGCCTCTGAATGTTGCCCGTTTTTGCGTGATATTGAGCTATAAACAGAAGTCACAGCTCAGCAAATGATCTTGGTTCGTTCCCTCTGCGCTGTGACTGCTGTACCTCTGCGCTCTACTCTTTCACTTGCTGTGTGAGTTCAACCGGCAAGGGTCAACAGTCAGCCTCACGTTGTTCTCCCAGTCTCTCGCTGTACGCCTCCCGCTCTTCTCACGTTGTGGTATTATGTTAATTCCAGCCCTGATTTTGTGTTTTGAGACGTCTCAAAACATTCTCCCAGTCTCTCGCTGTACGCCTCCCGCTCTTCTCACGTTGTGGTATTCATTCCAGCACTGATTTTCTGCGCCTCCTTCTGCAAGCTACCATCGCCCACACACTCGTCGAGATGTTTTTGTGTCTTGTCAAAACGCAACTCTAGCCTTTCAATCCAAACCCAACCCATTCAAGCGTCATCTCTTACACTCAACGCCCTTCCCCGGCCCACCCCTGCATCGCGTTGCAACGGCAGGCGACTTGTGAGAAGTTTCAATAGTCCCCCCCCCCCACCACCCTTCCCCGCCTCCGTCTCTTCACCCCCCTCAGGTGCATCGCTTTGCAGTGGCAGGCGTGAGCAAGAGGGGGCTGGCCTCGTGGGCTGTAGCAGCGGTGGATAAGGTACGTGGCTTGAACGGGACAGAGAGGCAGAGAGAACGCGGGGGAGGGGAGGGTGAGGGACGGTGAGGGACAGTGAGTGACGGTGAGGGACAGTGAGGGAGGGTGAGGGAGTGAGGGAGGGTGAGGGAAAGAAAGGGACGTAATATGGGAGCAAGCCTGGGCTGACTTCTATGGCGTGTGGAGGATGGAACAGTTGGAAGCGAAGTAAGGAAGGGGAGGCGATGGTGTGGGGTGACATGGAACGATGCTGATGATGATGATGATGATGGGAGGTCTGAAGTCTGTGCTCGTGATGGGTTAATGCTTGTAGAGATAAAGGGAAGGCGTATTATCAGATGGCCTGTGCGCTGTGTCTACCCTTTGGTTCCGTTGTGGCCGTAGCACCACAGAGCTCCGAGCTGGCCGGGCCCTAGGAAGCGAGACAGACCTGTTGAAATCGCTTTGAGAATTTTTCGGAAATGAGACGGACTGCCTCTGTGACTACCGGTTGGCACGGGTGCAGCTAACCGGTAGCTAACTCCCTGGCATCGCTAGAACAATCAACCCTTATTTTCCCCTGTCTCTTGCCTCTCACTTCTCTCCCAACCCCATTCCTTTTGAGACGTCTCAAAATGTCTCTTGCCTCTCACTTCTCTCCCAACTCCATTCCTCCCCGCCCTCTCTTCCCTTCACATCTTCCGTGCCCTCTTGCACCCTAGGTCCCCTACCCCCCACCCTCGTCGATCCAACCTCTCATCACCCCTAGCGAGTGGTGGCGCTGCTGCCGTTGGGAATGGGAGCAATCAACTTCGTGGCCTCTTTGAAGCGCCACTACCAGTCGCTGGGTTGCTGGCCCATCACCTTCAAGCCCCACTTTTGAGGCGTTTCAACCCCCCTTCCCCCCTCCCTTCCTTCTCCAATCTCCCCAGAGAGTGGTAGCGCTGCTGCCGGTGGGGGCAGGAGCAATCAACTTTGTGGCCTCTTTAAAGCACTACTATTAGAGTCTGCGTGGCTGGCCTACCACCTTCAAGCCCCATTTTTAAGGCGCCTCAAAACATAACCTCCCCCCCCCCCATTCTCCCCCCTATTCCCCCCTTCCCCTATCACCCCCAGCGAGTGGTGGCGCTGCTGCCAGTGGGAGCGGGAGCGATCAACTTCGTGGCCTCTCTGAAGCATTACTACCAGTCGCTGGGGGGCTGGCCCATCACCTTCAAGCCTTAATTTTGGGGCACCTAAAGAATTTGTGACCAACACGCCCCCCTTCCTCCCTATCACCCCCAGCGAGTGGTGGCGCTGTTGCCGGCGGGAGCGCGAGCAATCAACTTCGTAGCCTCGTTAAAGCATTACTATCAGTCGCTGGGCGGCTGGCCCATCACCTTCAAGCCCCACTTTTGTGGGGCCTCGAAACATAACCTCTCCCCCTCTCATTCTCCCCCCTAACCCCCCCTTCCTCTATCACCCCCAGCGAGTGGTGGCACTGTTGCCGGTGGGAGCAGGAGCAATCAACTTCGTAGCCTCGTTAAAGCACTACTACCAGTCGCTGGGCGGCTGGCCCATCACCTTCAAGCCCTACGTGGCCAATGGCGTTACCAAGAACATGCTCAGACCCAACATGCAGAAGCTCGTGGTGAGTGAGCGAGTGAGTGAGTGCGGGAGTGAGCGAGTGAGTGAGTGCGGGAGTGAGTGAGTGAGTGAGTGAGTGAGTGAGTGAGTGAACGCGGCTTCTCTGAGTCGACTCAGCGGCCTGTCCATCACTTTCAAGGCTTGAAGGTAAATACTGTTACCAAGAACATACTCAGGCCTAACACGCAGAAGCTCGTGGTGAGTGAGTGAGGGAGTGAGGGAGTGAGGGAGTGAGTGAGGGAGTGAGTCTGTGAGTGAGTTAATGAGCTGGCCTATTACGTTCAACCTCTACAATGGCGTTACCAAGAACATGCTCAGACCCAACATGCAGAAGCTCGTGGTGAGTGAGCGAGTGAGTGAGTGAGTGAGCGAGTGAGTGAGTGAGTGAGTGAGTGAACGCGGCTTCTCTGAGTCGACTCAGCGGCCTGTCCATCACTTTCAAGGCGGTAAATACTGTTACCAAGAACATACTCAGGCCTAACACGCAGAAGCTCGTGGTGAGTGAGTGAGGGAGTGAGGGAGTGAGTGAGGGAGTGAGTCTGTGAGTGAGTTAATGAGCTGGCCTATTACGTTCAACCTCTACAATGGCGTTACCAAGAACATGCTCAGACCCAACATGCAGAAGCTCGTGGTGAGTGAGTGAGTGAGTGAGTGAGTGAGTGCGAGAGTGAGTGAGTGAGTGAGTGAGCGAGCGAGTGAGTGAGCGAGTGAGTGAGTGAGCAGGCGAGTGAACGAGCGAGTGAGTGAGTGAGTCATTGCTGCTTGTCCTGTGCCTTTCATGTCCTGCCTTGTCGCCTGTCTCTGTATTGAGCCTAATCATAAGCTGTGCGGGCCACTGTGATCAAGCCCCCCCAAGTCTCGACCCCATCACGAGTAGACTACTTGCGTGCAATTCGCGGAGAGACAGGACATGAAAGCTCAACTGCTCCCCCACCTCTCCCCCACCTCTCTCTAAACTCTCCCCCACCTCTCGCCCACCTCCCCCCGCAACACGGCAGGCCATCACGGATCCGTACAGGTACCGGCATCGCTACAGCATGCCGAAGCTGCTGCTGTTTGGCGCCAATGACGAGTTCTTCATGATTGATGACACGTGAGTAATGGGGGGCTGGGGACATGGGGGCCATGGGACATGGGGGGCATGGGACATGGGGCAAAGGGCGTTCAATGTGCCGCTAAACCGAAGCTGCTGCTGTTTGGCGCCAACGACGGGTTCTTCATGATTGATGACACGTGAGTCGTATGGACCTAAACATGTGTGCCATATGGGAGGGGACATGGGACGTGGGAATGGGACATGCATGCACCATGCGAGATCCGTATTTTCAACCATGCCCCATCCACCATGCACCATGCACCATCCACCATGCACCATGCACCATGCACAATACACCATACACCATCCACCACGCACCATGCACCATGCACCATGCACCATACACCATACACCATGCACCATGAACCATGCACCATCCACCACGCACCATACACCATACACCATGGACCATACACCATGGACCATACACCATGGACCACATCCCCTCCTTCCCCACACCCCCTCCTTCCCCACATCCCCCCCTTCCCCACACCCCCTCCTTCCCCACATCCCCTCCTCCCCCCGCTTCCCCTCACAGCTACTACTTCTACTGGGACATGCCCGACCCCAAGTTTCTGCGCATTATGCCCAACCAGGAGCACATGCTCCTGCAGAACAACCCCGAGGTGAGGGAGGAGAGGGGAAGGGAGGGGAAGGGGACGAGAGAGCGGCAGTTTGAGAGTGTTTTGAGCTGGCTGGGAAGGGACCAGGAGCACATGCTGCTGCAGAACAACCCCGAGGTGAGGGAGGAGGGAGGGGAGGAGGGAGGGATTGATGGAGGGGTTTAGATGCCATAGGATTGCCCACCTACAGCGCTCTGTTGCCACTACTGCCTTCAATTCAGTCAAAGTTACTATTGAGCCTACTCTCACTTTTATCTTTTTTCTTTAACCTGCTTCCTCTTGGGTTCCCTTGCATTTGGTCCCGCATCAGGTGATTCTCTCCGGCATCCCTTTCTACTCCTCCATCGTCTTCTCCACCGCTCTGCCTCCCTCTCCACCCCCTTCCACACTCCCCTCCTCCGCCTCGCCATCAACATCACCAGCATCAGCAGCACCACCATCATCACCATCATCATCACCTGCATCGCAAACAGCAGCAGCAGCGGCAGCAGCAGCCACTAGCACCGGTCGCCCTCTCAGCGTCCGATCGCGGGGTTCACAGCCAGACTGGCCGCAGCTCACATGGTACCTGAACATGCCCGGCGCTGCCATTGAGGGCACTATGGACCGACGCCCCACCAAGATTAGGGCGTGGTGAGTGTTTCGTAAGGTGGGCTGGGGTGAAGTGGAGTGTTGTAGGTTGCGGGTTGTGATTGAGTTTGTGAGTGGTTGTGGGATTCTCAGCCCGACTAGCCCTGGCGCTGCAGTGGAGGAGACCACAGACGGACGGCCTGTCAATCAGGGCATGGTGAGTGGTGTGGTGGTGACTGGCTGGGTTTGTTTATGGTAGGGCGTGGTGAGTGTTTCGTAGGGTGGTGAGTGATTTGTAAGTTGTCGCGGGGCTCTCACAGCCCGACTGGCTGCAGCTCACATGGTATTTGGACATGCCCGCGGGCACTGCTATTGAGGGCACTATGGATCGTGGATCGTCGCCCCATCAAGTTCAGGGCGTGGTGTGGTGAGTGGTGGTTGTGTAATTACACTGTGGCTCTAATGGCAGCTTTTGAGTCGACCCAATAACTATCTGCCAAGATTAAGGTGTGGTGAGTTGTTGTTGAGGCGCCTCAGAAGGCATGGTGAGTGGTGCGGACCTCCCTCACCCGTCCTTCCCCAATCTGTTCCTCCCTCCCTCCCTCCCACACCACTCCCTCCCTCCCCAGGTACTCCCGCTCTGCTCGTCGCTATGTTCGCCGGGTCAGCCTCCTCACCTCCCTCCCCACTCTGTTCCTTCCTCCCTCCCACCTCCCTCCCTCCCCAGGTACTCCCGTTCTGCTCGTCGCTACGTGCGCCGGGACTTCCGGTGGATCGTTGGAGGGGCCTCCGCCACCTGGTGAGTAGGGCGGGACGGGATGTTGTTAGGCGCTTACTGGAAGCGTCGTGTATTACAAGTGACTTGCGCTCTCTCATTGGATCGTTGGAGGAGGGGCCTCCGCCACCTGGTGAGTGATTACTGGATTAATGGAGAGTGCTCTTATGGTACTCGTCCTCTGGAAACACCAACTCACTTCTGCTGGACCGTTGGATCGTTGCAAGGGCCTGTAGATCATAACTGCCACCTGAAGGGTTGTGAGAAACGGGAGGGGGGGGGGGGGCACTTGTGGGGGAAGGAGCGGGTGTTGAGGTGGGGGAAGAAGAAAGGGAGGATGCAAGGGATTGGACTGGTTAAGACGCGTTACTTTCCCTATCATCTCCTTCCCACACATGCTCTTTCATTAAGTACTGCCTCTAATCTCAATGCACGGCTTATGTTTGCTTCGCTCTACCCCGTGAAATCCGGTCCCCACCCCCTTCAGCAAGTCATATCAACCCCCTTCCATCCCCTCCCACCTGCAGCTTCCTCGAGTCCACTCAGGTGTCATTATTGGGCGACCTGTGTCCGCATGCACTCTTCCACCCAGTGCCTGTGCCACCCCACCAAACCTCTCCTGCTACACCTCTCACCCATTTCCACCCTCTTCCACCGCCTTCCACCCACCGCCTCCCCCTTGCAGCTTCCTCAAGGTCACCCAAGTGCCGCTGCTGGGCGACCTGTGTCCGCAGGCAGTGCTCTTCCAGCCGGTGCCTGTGCGCCCCCACAAAGCTTCCTGCTACACCTTGCACCCCTCTCCACGCCCTTCCAACCCGTTCCACCCCTTTCAATTCCCCCTTCTGCCTTGCAGCTTCCTCAAGGTGACTCAGGTGCCGCTGCTGGGCGACCTGTGTCCGCAGGCAGTGCTCTTCCAGCCGGTGCCTGTGCGCCCCTCTTACAGCGCCCTCGACCGCCTCTGGCACTTCCGCGCACGCATCACTAACTTCCCCAAGGTAGGTACCGTGTGTGCTGCTTGCCTTTGGGTCGCTGTATCGTTACGGGCTTTTGAGTTGATAAAAAGTACTGTAAAGCAAAACCTTGACTGCCTCTGGCTGGCACTTTCATGCCGAGATCCTCCCCCGAGGTACGGTGCCATTACACACGCCTTCGCATGACTGGCCACGTGTAAATGACAGTCTTTCTTCCCTTGATTACACTTTCCCTCCGTCCTTATCCCACACAGGTCGGCTACAAAGCTATTTTTGTGGAGGTGGAGTTTCCACCGTTGCGGCCGTCTGGTAACAACATAACCTTGACAACAGAGGCACTGGTTGTGCCTAACAGCTTTCCATTCTCGTACTGCACAGGCTCGAAGTGTGATATGCGCCTCGTGTAGTGTAGGCTGGTGAGTGTACTGCACACTGCACGCTCTACAGTGTGTGTGACACTGTTGGACAATTAATGTATTCTATGCGCTTCGATTTTTTGCTACTCCAATCCAAATGGGTGTGATGGTAATTCGCTAAGGAATCAAATAGAGTGTATTCCTACTCTAGTTATTTTTTTACCTCGTGATTGACCCTGCTTCAGTGTGATTCTACACAAATATAACACTTCATTGACGTATCATACCAATATGCACCCTAAGCATTTACAGAAGTGCTGCTGCTCTACAACCAGACCGTTTAACACAAGTGTATGAAGTGCCATTAATGGTGTATCAATCACAGGCCCTCCATCACCTTCGCCACCACTTGCTCGTCCATTTTAAACTGTGAGGGAGAGAGAAAGAAGCAGTTTGGCGGAGGAGGGGCATGTGAGAGATGAATTGAATGCATGCGATCATGCCAGTGCATGTGCACACCGCACCGCGCATGAGATGATTGATTGGTATGATGCGGATAGACAGCACACAAGGTTGCAGTATGAAGGTGGCACACATGGTACCATAGGATGGGTTGCCTTGCCGTATTCACCCCACAGTTTCACCACACCACCAACAACTCACATCGTGTCTTCTGAGCTTCGAAAAACCGGCAGAGTCTAAGGAGGGATGTGTGGTGCGGTGTGGGACACAGGCAGCCCACAATACACTGCCCTCAGCAAGTTGCTCTCTCTCCAGGGTTCATCCCTGGTCACAGAGGAGATCCAAAATACACACCTTCATGAGGCGCCTCAAAAGTCCTCCACTCACAATACAGAGCTCTCAGCAAGCTGCTGTCTGTCCAGAGTTGGCCTTTAAAGCCTATCCCAACTGGTCAGCTCATCTCGGGAAAAAAATGCGACTCTAAGACGCACCAGAGCGTCACCACCACCATGCCGCCATGCCCCCATGCCGCCATGCCCCCATGCCGCCATGCCCCCATGCCGCCATGCCCCCATGCCACCATGCCCCCATGTAACCATGCCCCATGCCCCAGTATCACCATGCCACCATGTTATGGTGTCACGCCATGCAGACGCAACCCGTCAGGCCCCACCTTTTGCGCCACCCACTTGGTGTGCTCCGCGCCCCGCCGCGTCATGTCCGCCGCGCGCTCCGCGTCGCTCTCGTCGCGGAACGCCGCGAAGTTCTCCCGCGCGTACTGCGCGTAGTACGGCCGCGCGTCCGCAGGAAGGCGCCGCGCCAAGCGCAAAATGCGGCGGTAGAGGTGCAATGGCGCCGGCGCGGACGCAGCCATTCGTGCGCGACGCGAGTCCCGAATTAGACGCTCAACCAAAAATCGGTGGCAAGTTGCTGTCAGGGGAAAACAAAGATCGCAGCGCTTTCAAAATTCTTGCTCCTGTTAGATAATCAGAGAGGTTGTAACAGCACGAGAAGATCTGAACGCGCGGTAAGCTAAGCTACTGGACGGGGCGCGGAGGAGATTCTAAAGTGCGGCGAAATCCAACCATGGTGTCACCCTACTGTTGAACGCGCAGCGGTATTGCCGTGGTTGTGGTTGGTTGATTCTGATCTGAGTGATGATGATGTAGCGATTCCCCGTGGGGTGGGGGGAAGGGGAAGGGGGGAGTGCGGGAACGGATGGGGGAGAGGAGTGCAGCGGGCATGACTCGTTATCAACATGTGCTTGCAGCGGAGTCGAGTGTGCTGGGCTTCCCTATACTCTACATTACTTCCTGTTAACAGAATACATGATGTTAGAAAGAAGCACATTTTTCTGGTAAGATGCGTTATTTTGTACAGCAGCGGAGGTTCGACTAATAAATATCAAACTAATTCATTTCCAAGGCCCTTTTCGTCTCAAGCCCCTCATCATCCCCTCCCACCACCACCACCGTCGTCCCGCTGTCTCCTCGAACCCTTTTCCTGCAAAGCCGGCAATGGCCAATGCATTACCATAAACTCACCCTCATCCCCCCCTACCTCCCCAATCCCTGATGCACTCCTTCCCTCAACCCCCCCCAAACTTGCCACCCCTCCCCCTCCCCCTCCCCCCCCTCCACTCCTCCCCCCAGCCTCACCCCCTCCATCCCCATCTGGTTCGGCGGCTGCCCGAAGCAACACATCAAGCATGGCAGCAGGTTCGGAGCGATGCCGAGCAAGCTGTCTCCTAGCAGCGGGCACAAGCACCACCCCACTGCCCCTATCACTACCAACACCACCACCAGGAACCGCACTCAACCCATTCCCTCGCCTCGCCAACCCCCCTCCTCCTGCTCCCCTCGCTCCCCTTTGCACTGGCCTTGGAGGCCCCCTAGCTAGCCCAGAAACATGTGTCCTGCGCGCCCCTCCCCCTCTGCTCTCCGCCCCCCCTCCTCCTCCCCCACCCCTCCCATCCGGCCCCAATGGGGCTGAATAGAAAGCCTGGGATAGATCCTCCTCAGATTCGCTCTGCTCCGATACACTCCGTACCACCTCCCCTCGTCCCACCCTGTAAGTCCCCCCTTTAGAACCCCATGTATCACCAGGGCTACTGTTATATTCACATACATCCCCCTCTTCCTGTAGAATCAGCCTATGCCTATGCACTTGCCGCCTCTCATCCCTCTCATCCCTCTCATCCCCTTCCTCCCTTTCATCCCTGTCATCCCCCTCACCCCCCTCACTCCCCTCCACGCTATAACTCCTACTCGGGGGAACCAGCCTCCCCCTACTCCCCCTCCTCCGCTCTCCCCCCACCTCTCGCTCCCCCCCACCCTCGCCCCCACCATACTCCCCCCCGGAAGCTCCCCTGATTGCTCTGCGCCTCGAACTACTGGGGCCGGGGGGAGGGGTTTTGGGCGAAGGGGTGAAAGCCCCACCCTCTAAGGTCTGACTCCTGCGCATACTGTGCGAAACAGCGACAGGAGAGGCAGCGGCAGGGCCGGTAGGGGAGGAGGTAGGAGAGGGGGAGGGGACGAGGTGCGTGGAGTTTGAGGGGTGGGTATTGGCGGACTGTGGGTAGAAGGAGGAGGAGGATGAGGAGGAGCGGGGAGGAGGAGCGGGAGGGGGGGAGGTTGACTCAGTAGCCCAAGAGAACACATCTGCAGCCAGAGGTTTCCGTCTATGGAACCTCTCTGCTCCTGCAGCCACTGTCCCACTGCCCACAAACCCGGCTCCTACTCTTCCCACCCCCCCTCCTCGAAATCCCGCTGCCCCTGCTCCTCCTCCTCCTCCTGCTCCTCCTCCTCCCCCTCCTCCCCCTGCTGCTCCTACTGCAGAGGTCCTCCCACCCGTAGGCCCCCAGGTCTGGCACCTGGTGAAAGGATAATTAGCAGGAGCCGTCGGATCATCTGCAATGCCGCTGCTGCTCCTATTCATGCTCCCCCCACCACCACTGCCCTC